ATCCCGCCGCTCTCTATATCATATCATCATCATGCAGTAGACAACTTAAAGTCTACCTTTATCTTTATATCCTCGACGTATAATTAAAACACTGACAGACCTGAAAAACGCGATGTTCTATCAATTTCACGTGCACACGTGCGTCGGTGCTCGATTGGGATCACAATTTGTTGATTTATCATGTGCATTCACTGGCTCCCAGACAACCTACTATCAAATTGATGGCCGTTCTCGTTTAATCTGCGTTTTGTGCCCGTCGGCAGGATTGGTTGTACCCTTCTCTGTGGACTTGAGTTCATAATAAATACTACCGTGACTAATATTGATTGGGGTTCCGCTGAATTCTTCGCTCATTAATAGAAATCTTTCGCGAGGATGAGGCTCTATTCGGGTTTCTGTGATCGGCCCTCACGTCATGTTGTCGAAGAGGCATATACTTGATCTACCTATTCTACTTGACCTTCTGGTGTGGTGTAAGGATTTTTAACATGTTGTATTCCCTACTATTGACATGATTATAGGAGGGGTAAACCCGACGAGAGAAACTGGAGCGCGTTGACATGACCAACCATGGTTCAACATATGAGAAACTCGACGAGAGAAGACTCGACGAGAAATTCTTCGACGAGTCAAGACTGCAAGTCAAGGCTCGACGAGATAGCAAGATGATGAATGGTCCATCACCAGGTATTCGTATAGGAGGATGAGGGGAACGACTGAGGTCCACTTAAAAGTCATTTTGATATCAGGGGGAGAATAAGAAATAATTAATAAAGTGCAGAATTTCCTAAGTTCAAGACACGCGTACAATTAAGGTAAGTCCCTGCTTGGGCTAGATTATGCCGCCGTCGAACCTCGATAGGCATAGCTTGTAGAGGTATCGACTGGTAGCGCCAAGAGTTTAGGAAGGCCCGGGTAGGGCAGCGCTCGCTACGATCGAAAGAAGAAGTATCTTCGTCGTCGAGCCGGTAAGCCTAGGGATGGGGCCGCTGTAAGTCTTGTAAAGTGACAAGCCTGTGACCCACAAGACGGCACTGCTGAAAGTCTTGTCGAACGACAAGCCGGTGGGACTCAGCCGAAGGCGCCGAATATCTTCTAGTCGAGCGTACACTGCGCCCGGTGACCTGTCAAAACGCGTAAGCGTCGGCTTCCATACTTTGGTGTGAAGCCAAAGGAAGATAGAGGTTTCAAGGCTACTGCGCTCAGTCAGTCCTCTAAAGGAATTGGTTGTAACGCATTGGTTGTAAGGAATTGGTTGGGCGAGAGACAGAAATGGGCCCAATAGGGGTAAACCACGTATGGATTGTTCCTAACGTACCAGCGCATTGCGCCGACTAAGATCGGCGATTGTTGTGTTTGTGCTAACTACTATACTACTACTGGTCCCGCGACACGGGAATTCTGGGTTTGCGATAGTTTAACAGGTAACAAACAACCAACTACGAGCGAAATAGTCATCTATTTGTCACTAGCGAGCGGTGGGATCTCAGCGAATTCTGGGTGAACGTCGAGTGCTAGGTCGATCCAGGCGGTAAGGAACGACACATAGGTGAAGGTGGAAGTGTTACGAGAACCTGGGATCGACGAGTTTGAAGGAGGTGACCATGGGGAGGAGGAACAAGATGGAAGAGACGAGTACGACAATGGAGAAGAACTCGAAAAAGACAAAGAAAAGCGTGTGATACACGCGGGTCGTGTGAGTCACGTACAGGTAATGAAGTAGCCGCATGTACAAGCGATGAGAAACTTTGTGCAAGCTGATCAAGAAAAGTTCGATGACGACGAGTTGCGGCTGGGTGTAGGAGAGCTTTAATCCGCTATCGTCAGGACCCCAAAGGGGATCTCTACCCCACCAGGCGAAACGGATCCTCCATCTAATTGTCAAAGAGATGAAGAAGAGCAAGTGGATCAAGCAGTGCGACATAGATCGGTCTACTTAAGCGAAATTGTCGGACCTCAGCTGCATAATGAACAAGACCTGCACCGGTTTGAGCACTGATGCATTCTCGTCGTACACTGTCTACGTCTCGCGCGCGATGAGATACAAGTGCAAGAAGTTGCAGGACCTCAAGCTGGATAAGGCAATCTCTAACCCGCGAGCGGTGGACAACGAGGCGAAGGGATGGATAGCCAAGCTCAGGGACGCATTTTGAATTGATGCGATTCCAAGCGTTAACATGACGATGCAACAGCTGTATGGAGACGTCTTTTCGATGGAAGAGAAGGTACAGATACCATCGTGTTATGAGTCGAAAGCAAGTACGAGCGAGACTCAATCGTGGACGAATGCTTAAAGAGGGGAGCAGGATGAAACGGAACCGGAGGCAATTTCTCGAGTAAAGTGATCGCCTTACATGGAGGACATCTACATGGAGAGACCAAGGTCATACTCTCCGACGAGAAGGAAGCGTTCAGAAATGAGAGGAGAAGATGGACGAGGACCCTACTACTACTACGAAGACGACGACGATGACGACGAAGATTGGACTGGACAACAATGTGGTCGTCATTCTACAAGCAAATGCAACCGTCGTCTGAGCTTTGAGGGATCTCTGAGTGAAGGACGACAAGTGCTTGCGATACGAACGCATGCCCCGTTTGAGAAAATTGCTAAGTTCGAGGGCAGCCGATACCGGTCCGACGCAGCTCTCGAGTGGATTAAGACGTTCACTTACGAGATGAAAGGAACGTGCAAACCTCAGAACGACTGGTGTGGATTAGTTAAGTTACGTCTGGGGAAGGCTGCCAAGAGTTGGTACCGACAGTTGCCGAAGAAAACTCAGGAAACATAGAAGTTGATCAGCCAGGCGTTTGTGGAGTACTACTGTTAACAGTACGATCAGTTGGCAAGGTCCCGGTTATAATCAGCGAAGCGTCAGAAATCCGAACATGTGTGCGACTTTCTCCTCCGCTCGAATGAATATGCACGAGCAGCGCAGATTCAATACGAGAAGAGTAGAGCCGAGTCGGAAGATCAGGTGCATCTATTCGTGCTTAACTGTTAAAATATAACTTGACGAATTTCATCTACCCGCAACGACTTGGTGGTTTACATCAAGTGAAGCAGATTCTCAGTCGTCGGCTCCTAGGCGAAAATCTCAAGAAGCAACGAGACCGAATGAGTAGCAATCGACTGTCCGATTGCCACAGACGAGATTCATGGACCAATCGCCGCAGAGACAGTCGACACGACAGTGCGCGTTCATTAGAGGGTTGACGTGATAACAGACGTCATGGTAATCGATTCGATCACCAAGAAATACTTGATGATCACCGATTCGATCACCGAGAGAGACATGAAGAACACCGACTCGTCAGCAAAAAAGCGTCATTGTGGCAGTAAAAAATGCAGTCACTGCCACAGACCTGGTCACGACCGGCGCCAATGTCCGTCTCGTGCTTTGATTGAGCTGGATCAAGCAGACAATGCGTTAATTACCATGAGCACATCCCAGGTGTCGTCACAGCTTACACTCTGTAACGAACCTCCAGCGTTGCATGGCCCTCGACATGGCACACAGCTGCAAGCAGTTCATCCTTCTCAGACCTTTACGTCTCCGTTGATGACCCAGGTCCCATTAACAAGGCGCCAGCTTCCTCCCGCGCCATAGAAGAAGTCCGTTCTCCTCAACCTAGGACACGTAATCTAATGGTTAGGCGCGGGTGCATTTTTAATTACCTTATTCTGTAATTGTTTGGATTGACATGACGTGACTGTACTGCACGTGCATTTCTACCTAGTTTATCCTGTAATATATGAATTGACGTGGATAGAATGTGACACCGCTGCTACCATATAAACATTATGTATAATGGATAGGCGCGCGGTGTATTTAGTCATAATGCTAGGTGTATTTAGCCTCTCCCGTGTACCACACCTATTGTCGACTACCAGTCGACGTGTAACCCCGTTACACATTTCGTCCATCAACAGTTGCAGTGCATACGTCCCATCAACTCGGATCGTGCCGGGTAGTGAGCTCTGGCAGTACAACAACATAACCAGACAACAACAAGCTCCGATACGCTAGCACAGCCTCGTTGTTGTGGCACATATATCGTCTACAAACACCACTAGCAATAACATTGATTCGATACGGAACCACGCACTAAACATCGGCAACGACGGTAATTGGTGTGGCGCAACATCAGAAGCATCGACGGTGTTGCCTGGCGCTCATCTGATTCGATAAAACTCGTCGCTACGATCCAACCAATCAAACGCATCGACGGCCACCCCCACGGCTTTTGTGGTGGACATTGACTTCCCAGACACACACACCAGCGATCATGGGCAAGGTACGGCGGCTTTGCCGATGCATTTACGCAAGGAGGCGCGAGTGGCAGCGACGGACGTGCACTGGACAGTATAAACGAGATCTGAGCTATTGACCAGCGTTTTTTCCATGGCAATACATGCAAAAGCCGCTGCGTTCTCACCTCTTACACAAAACGACCCACAATTGAGAAGCATCGATTGACCTGATCTCTTGCTGTGTTGATCCCGTAGGGCAAAGCCAAGAACGTGGTGATCAAGATGTTGAGTGCAGCAGGCACGGGGTGCGTCCGTTCGTACCTACTGCTGTACGCGTAACGGCGGCGCGGACTGATGTTTGTCTCAACCCATTTTCTTCTCCTCTCTTGTCTTGCTGCTTGGACAGGTTCTTCTACACCACGTCAAAGAACCCGCGTAATGTTACGCGGAAGCTCTCGCTCCGCAAGGTAAGTCTCGACGTCAGTGTCTGACTCGGACTTGTGGAAGGCGCTGAAGGGTTGGAGACTGATGTGCGGCGTGATTTTGTGTGTATGCTTAGTACGACCCGATCGTCCGACAGCATGTGATTTTCAACGAAGCCAAGATCAAGAAGGGATGAGAGGGCACGTCCCGTGGCCGTGTGCGGCTGCTTTGTATAGAGATTCGACCCATCCGTGCGTGGGCTCAGCAGTGATGGCAATACGCAGTTTGCTCAGCACATTCGTTGGCTCATGTGTGTGTGTGTCTACAAAAGGCGTCGACCTTTGATCATAAATGTATGGCTTGCGTCTGACGCGGCGACGACGTCGGTGCCCTCAGCAGCTGACGACTCGACACGGTCAGGAACGTCTACGACTAGCAGATCGGACGGAACTGCCGGCTCGGGGTCTTCGCTGAAAAACTCATGCTCGAGTGCCTTGGACGCCGAGATACGTTTCTTCGGATCGAGCTGCAGCATCTGAGACAGCAGATCAACGCCAGCAGCTGACAGCATGGGAAATTGCTCTGCCAGCGGTGTCGGCTTCGTGTCCTTGAACCGGAGGTAAAACGGCAACTGACTCGCTTCGCTCCACCCGTTCTCGTGGGGAGATCCCAACGCAGCGAAAATCTTGCTGAGCTGGTCAATGTCCGAGGACCCATCGGCAAACGGGCGACGCAGCAGCATCTCGGCAAAGATGCAGCCGACGGACCACATGTCGACTTCGCAGCCGTATCTCTCTTGACCGAAAAAGATCTCGGGTGGCCGATACGCCCTCGTGATAACTTGCACCGACCGCTTGGGGTTCTCCTTCTCCTCGACGCTAGCTTTCCCATCCGTGTCTCTATCGTCCCAATCATCTTCGTGTCCACTTGCCACTTCGATCGCTGTCGCCATGCCAAAGTCCGTGATCTTGGCACACCGCTGCGTCTTGGACAGCAACAGGTTATTGGGCTTCAAGTCCCGATGGAGAATCCCACGCGCGTGCAGCTCGTGCACGCCAAGCAGCAGCATCTTCAAGTACGCCTTCACTTGTGCAATCGCCAGCGTCGGCACGCTCGCTGTCGCACTAATCAGCGTCTCGAGATCGCTGTCCATGTGTTCCATGACCAAGTAGAGCTTCTCTCGGCGCTCCACGACCTCCAAGAGCTACACACCCGGCCAAGTCCAGAGCCAGAACCCCAGTCAGCCACACACACACACATAGCAACAGCAGAAACACAGCACAAGCGTCAGCAACACAGCACACCGACACCGCCCCACCTTTGCCACGCATCGACCTGCACCAACGCACCTGCACCACGTGCGCTGCGCCTCGACACTTTGTGAGCATAGCGGCCTCGTGTCGGGCGGCAGGGAGTGGCCCCAGCACTTTCTTCAGCGCGACCGGCGCGCGCGACTCGGCGTGGTACCCGAGGTACACGGTCCCGTACGTGCCGCGCCCGATCTCCGCGTGCTTTTCGTACGCGCCGAGCCGCTTGCGCGCGCCGCGGTCGGTCAGCCGGCGCTTCATCAAGACGGGCACAGGTGGGGCCGTCGTCGATGGCGGACGGAGGTCGTGCGCGGGACAACCGATTGGTCAATGTTTTATCCAATCAGATACAGCAGCGCGCCGGCCGCGGAAGTCCCACGTGGCGGACAAAGTCGGTCGCAGCAGGTGGCAGTGAGGGGACCGTGTGACCCGAATAGAGGACCGCACGTCGACGTCACGATGAGAGGCAGCGAGAGACGCGGGGAGGGCGAATAGGGGCCAAGTGGCAGTCGGGTCGAGACTGTGTGTATCGCTCTCTATCTATCGCTCTCTCTCTCTCTGTGGGTGTCAGTCGGTCCGTCATGGCCGCCCGCCCGCCCGCCTCCCGTCTCTTTCGTTTGCAGTCGTCTTTCTCTGCGTCTGAGTATGGGCCGTCGCGGTCCGAAACCCGTCGGGAACGCCCCACGCGAGACGACAGAGAGCGGGAGAGTCCGTTTCCACTCGTCACGCGGCCGCTGTCCGCCACTTTCGTTCGACTGCCGCCCCACTGACTCAGCGACACAGCGACACAGCGACACAGACTTTGAGACGCTGAGAGAGAGAGAGAGCGCCACTGACGTATACGTTCGTCCGCTGTCGTCCGCTCCCGTCCACTTGCGTCCGCTCGCGTCCACTGGCCGCGACGAGCGCCGACACTGCTGTCGGTGATGCCGCCCGCGACAGCTTTTGCCGCCGCCGCTGTGCCGCCGCGTCGGGGGCCGACCACAGACCCCACGAGCGCTTTGAGGACAAAGAAGCGGACGGCGACGACCGACGCACAAGTGCGTGCGGTGGTCGACTGTGACGGTGTACGAGTTTGGGGTGACGTTGGGCGGCAGTGCAGTGCCCCGTCGAGGCGGTCCGTCCATCGGTCTCGCGCGCACGCCGCAGTCCGTGTGGCGCACAACGCTCGAGAGGGTGCGCCGGTGTGGCGACTTGGGGCTCACGCGGCCGCGCGCAGCTGTGGTGGCGGCCGACAACGAGAGCGGTGGACTGCCGCTGCACGAGCCGAAGAAGCTGCGCGTGCGGCGCGTGCGGTGGCTGAAGCCGCTCGAGCGCATTACGATGTTGACGAGCGCTGGCTGCAGCGAGGAGCGCATTTACCGCATGATGATGGAGAGCTCGGACATTGCCATGTCGAGGCGGCTGTGTGTGTCGATGCAGCGCCAAGTGACGGCGTGAAGCGGTGGAAGGAGACGAGGAACGAGACGGAGAGGAAAGAAGAAGAGATGGAGATGATGGAGGAGGTGGAGGAGGAGGTGGACGTGTGCGCGTGTGGACGACTTGTTATTTGTGTCGTGACGAGGAGCGGACGAGCAGTGGACGACTTGGTATTTGTGTGTCGTGATGGAAGAAGAGAGACGAAGCAGAGAGAAAGAGGGAAGTGCATGCACGAGGGAGTAGACGATGGAGGAGACTGTTGACTGAATGAAGGACTATTTACAGAGCACGAGGGTGGCAGGGCGTACGTTGGTTGACTGATTGGCTATGTGGCTGGAGCGATGTAGTTGCGCTTGTGCGGTGGAGACGCTCGATGTCTGTCTGCTGTGTCGTGTGTGGTGCGGCTGTACACTCTGTCGTGGTGCTCTTCACGACGACTGTCCGACGTTGTTCGAGAGGACCGCCTCGCTGTGTTCGTGGCAGCTTTTGCCGCAGCTGTACAGGTCTGCACATTGCTGACGGACTTGACCAGCACGCGGCCACGTACAATGAGCTCGTGTGGGAAACGACTGCGACGCTTTGGCTGTTGTCTCAACCTGTGGATCGTATCTGTCTCGATTGACTGTTGCAGTCGTGCTGCGTGCTTTGCGGCAGCTACTGGTGTCGTTCGCAGATGCGTCACTATCCTACGAACAGGCCACGTGCTCCCACCCACAGATAGAGTCATCGCGACTGGACGATACACGAGCGTGCAGTCGATGCAAAGCGTACCACAGCTCGCAGTCATATGCGATGCTTTCTTGTACCATCAACACGTGCACGCACCCTCTCGTCACGTCAACGAGCTGCCGTAGCAACAACGAGCTCTTGCCATGACCCCGCCCCGCGCTCTATTGATCGTGTCAGTGACCACTGACTACGCTCCGCCGCGTCCATCTCGTCACCTTTATCCACGTTGTACCACGTCGGACTCGCGCACGGTCGACGCTGGTGGACCAGCGTACGCTCTTGACTTGACGTGGACAGTAGCAGCGACGATTGTGAAAGCCATTGAAAGGTTTCGAGGCCAATGAATGTCCGTCACGTGCGACTCAATCGTTGGCGGGTTTCCGATTGTTTACCGTTATCCCATCCATCCATCCACCACTGCTTCCGCTTTCTCCTTCGTCACCCGCCATCTCTTTTGTGTCTTCCGCTGGCAACCGATGCCGCTCACAGGGTCCACTATCCAGCCTGGCGTCCGCTTGCCCTACCCTCGTCCGCTCGCGAGCGGACGAATCGCGTACACCCCACAGACACTCGGTGGGCGCATAACCGCTGCGGTCGAACAGCGCTTATAGCCAGGGAAACTGACCCAATAGATGGATGTTGCGCGAGTCAGCATTGGCTCGGCACGCGGATTCCATCGGACGTGCATTGCTGACAAATGGTCGGGCCACTGTTTGCCCGTCGTTGGATGAGATCCTGAATGACGAGTTCCCAGCTGGTGTGGCTGATACGAGTAGGGCGGACACTGGCTGGTACCGGGTGAAAAAAGGTCGCAGGGATTGTTTACTGGGAGTGGACGAACCCCATTCCATTGACGATCTCCCGAAGCAGAAGGACAGGATGCCCACTGGGTTCGCACTTTTACGCTCACACGATTTGTCACGGGTCGTGCTCGAGCGGTGCTCACGACAAGTCGTCTGTGCTATGTCGCATTGACACAAGATCAGCAGATTGCTGTCGTATTATGCAAATTGCTGTGGATACAGACAGGCACATTGTTGTGGGGCTGATCTGGTCCACACTTGACGAGCCGCAAACTCTTCGTCATTCGCGCGTCCAGCAATCGACAAAGAGCACACGAAAGATATTACTGTAAGCACGTTGGCAGTGTCATAGCATAAAGCCTCAAGCGCGACCCTCGAGTATCGTTGGCGTCGTTTGCGGTCATGCACAAGCCAATGGGTAGTCCATACATTGGCATCGCGCAACGGTTTTTGCGGGAAGTTTCTATGAACGGTCAGCTGACTGAGTTTGACGACCGTTTTGCCTCATTGACTGCGTCGATGGCGGCGTACATAGAGAGATCCCTACGATTGTACACGCGCCTCTTCAAAGGTATCGATCGGCTCTTGCGAAAATGTCGCCGAAAAGCCGTTGCACTGCAGTTGTCGCGATAGCGGATACTGCACATGAGGCAATAACGCAGCGAGATCATAATTTGCTCTCCGGTCATGATCTTCGTAGGACTATTTGTAACGTGAAGAAGTGCTCGACTGCAAGTGTTTGTACGTCGAGGAACACGCGCAGCACAAGTCGAATCCTCAGTCGTTGCTGCTGCTGCTGTTGTTGCTGTTGTTGCTGTTGCTATGCATATGGACGATAGTCGTTCCAGAATCCCTCGCACAAACAGGTGATCGCTGCACCGGATAGTGTACGAGACGGAGGGCATAGCGGCAGCATATATCGACTGCTCGTCGGTGGATACAAAAGACGCGCAAGTACAGCCCAACCAGAGCGAGTGCGTCACGGCACAAAGGCACTGCTACTCTACTTGCGTCAAAGCTGGCAGGAAGACAGAGAGACAGAGAGAGAGACGGGAAGAAGACAGACACGAGAGCAGATGCAATGCAGTGTTTGTCGTGTACTCATCGCCTGTACTGGGACTACCACCAGCCCCAACAATAACTTAGCCCCTGTCGTTCGGTGCTTGTCCGACGACGCGGTGTGTGAGTGTGAGTGTGTATGTCATATATACATATGTGCAACGTGTGCCCCCTGCCGTCGTGTCGCTTGATGCGTCCCCCGACTTGCGCGGGTCATGCCGTCCTCCGCTGTCAAACACTCAGACATAGTCGACAGCGATCAGGTGCGGCGGCCGGTGGACGAACGGAGCCACACACGGACGCGACGCCGCCGATGGCGCCTGCAGTCGGCGCCGCTGTCGCTTGGCCTCTTTCCGCTCGGCAACGTCCTCGACGAGCGTCCGCCGCCGCGAGCAGTTGATGATGTTGGCCTCTCTGGAGAAGCGCTGGATCATGCCCTCGCTCACGCCCGCGCGCTGCAGCAGCTGCACGCGCTCGTGCGGCGTGAAGCGGTGCACGCCCTCTACGCGCTCGGCCATGTGGCCCACTTGTGTCGTCCACGTGAACTCGGGTTTGTCGCCCAGGCCGATGGACGGCCCGCCTTTGCCCGGCACGGAGCTGCCGCCGAGGCCGACGCCGAACTCGTGGACAGTGATCGTGGACCACCGCAGCCGCTTCTTCTTTGGCGTGTGGAGAGGCAAAGAAGAAGCAGTGGCAGTAGTGGCAGTGGCAGTAGTGGCAGTGGCAGTGGACGAGCGACTGTGCGGACGCTTGAGACGGCGTCGATGTAGTTGCTGGTCAGGTGCCGACTCCATAGTGGACGACGTGGTGGAGCTGCTGGTGGGCGCTGTGGAGTCCGTCTGCTGCTGCTGCTGCTGCGTGACAGCGTCTGCGCCTTCAGCTTTGGCTTTCGTGGCGTCTTCCCAAGTCATACTGTGCTCGCGCTGTGGCAGTGATAAGCGGAGAACAGCGCGTGGGCTGCTGAAGGGGTACGTCCGATGGAGACTTTTGCTCTGTGCGCTCCGCGGGGCTTTGGCCTTTGGCCTCGTGCACTGCGTTTTGCTTCCCACTCTGCAATTGCGACTCATGTGTGTCTCAAGGAGCGGACGGTCCGTGTGAACTGTATCTGAAGCAGTGGACGGCAAGCGGACGCGGCCTGTCTGCTGCACGCTTGGGGCCCATACACACACACACACTACGCACATACATACATACACACACGACGTCGTTGCCCTACTCCTCGTCCGCTCGAATGCCCCCCCCCCCCACCGACCAGCACGGACTTGCCCACTGTCTACAGGAAAAAGTACCGTCGAAACATTGAGGTACACCGCGACAACCACATGGACGGCACCAAATGTCGCCACGAACGTCGTGGCGGTCGCCAATGGGCTTTCCGAAAAGCTTTGTCGTCGTGATAGTGAGTCAATTGCATCGGTCCTGACCTCGTTGTCCATTGCACCACGGGCCGATGCACCACTTTTGCAACGGCTGTTCGATGCTGTGGACAGCCGGTTGGTTGTCGTAGACCCAGCTACAAGACAACTTTACCCTGTAACTGAGCAACGCGGCGTACCGATCGCTCTCAAGCATCGATACACTTGAGGTAGGTGAGCTGGAAAGAAACGACGGGACAAGCGAGTGCTGTCCCACGCAATGGCGTCTTTCTTTGCTTTGCAGACGGCGCGTGCGCTGGTGGGTCGATTCATTGGCTCGCTCCTTGTTGAACTGTCTTTTCGAGGTCCGATCGTAAGATCGGTGCAACAACAGCGACAAGTGTTCCCCACGCACGCCACTCGCCCATTTTGGGCAGTTAATTACACACAAGTGTGGTCCGAGGGCACTGATACGTACAGTGGCCTCGTCTCCCAATGGACGCTACGTTGCCATGCGATTTAACAATCAGACCCTATGGTACTACTGGCGTCTGCGTGTGAGGCTCAGTAGCTGGCTGGCTGGCTGGCCGGACAGAAGATATTGTATTGCAGTGAGCCATAAACTACCTAACGTCGATGTGCCCGAGACTAGCGGTATCAGGTGTATGTATCCCGCATCGCGTATCCAGAATTCAATACAAAAAGTATGCTCGACACATACTTACGATGTCCGAATTCCATGCGAACGTTTAGTATGTGGTGCAACGCATTCATAGAACTTCATATGATAGTTGTGCGGTGTTGTGTGCATTCACTCGACCATGAGATTGATAATGGTATGAACAGTATCGCTGGAGATATGAATCTTCACGTGCACGCATGTAGGCATGTTGCCACTCCTGTTCATGCTTCAAGCAGGACCCAGCAGTGACGCGTTCAGATCATCCTTGCACGCGCCAGTTGAGCGATCTTTCAGCTTGATGTACCATTTCACGTAGATAAGTGGCAACGTGATGACCAGAACAACCGCAAGCATGAGACTTTGGGTCCACGCCTGAACGACGATACTCACCATCAAGACGTACAGCGCCAATTGAGCGATGACAATCAGCCCTGAGCATGCCAGATCAGCATAATTTTCCGCGTCGATTTTAGCAATCATCTCTTTTGGGAAGCAAATGTGCTTGATGCTGCTCCAGGCACCCGGCGGACGAGCAAAGCGGTAGAATTGCCGAAGCACCTTATCTGACTCGGGCCGAGTCAGAAGACAGACAGCAATAGAGATGACGCCGGAAATCGACGATACGATCACGAACGCCTGGAGCTCTTCAAGCAGCGGCGCAAAGCTGCACCACAATGCGTAAGTATAATGCATCACGTGATCAGAGATAACGACCAACAACAACAGCTTGCGCGAACGATACAAACGTACATGAACACAGCAAATGCTGCAATGTACCCCGAGACGACCCCGAGCAAACAGCTGAATGCATTGAAGCGCGCCCAGTACCACGAAAAGAAGAAGGGCCACATGAGACCACCAGCCATGGAGATGGTCATGAAGCCCCAGATACGGTTGATGGTGCTTACATCGAGTGAGAGCAAGAGACCAGCGAGCATCACAAAGACCGAGGACAACCGCGCGTGCCACAACAGTTGACGTTCGGACGCATTCGGGTTGATCAGAGCCTGATAGATATCCACTGTCCAGTACGACGACGCACTGTTGATAGTCGTGTCGAAAGTAGTCAGCGCTGCCGCTAGCAGCGATGCCAAGACGAGCCCTTTTACGCCCACTGGCAGCATTTTGTCAATCACGACCGGCACCACACGCTCCGGGTCAAGCACCACTCCAGCATGCTGCATCGAATAGTGAATGCCCATCACGGCAATACCGCCACTGAAGGCCCAGCGCAGACTCAACAACATCATGGCCAAGAATGTTTGCGATCGCACTTCACGCTCGGATTTGGTTGCAAGCACGGTCTGAAGGCCTGAACCACCCGGCCCAGATGCTGACCGCATCATTTGAAGCAATGAGTAGGAGATCAACACAAGGCCGAAGGAATTGTACATCGAAAAAGAGGCCTCGTCGGGTAAGCCCAAGGAGCTTGGCGGCACAGCTGAAACCCACGCGCTTCGTGTAGTGTGTACCTCGATGTACTCGGGCTCTCCACGCACCGTCCTCCCCGGCAGGAATACCGAAAAGTGATCCGGGAGATGTACCATGAAGCCCATCACCGCGACAGTGACGAACGACACAAACATGAAGAGGCTCTGGTACACGTCCGTGTACACAATGGTCGAGAAGCCGGACACGATGGTGTACAAGATCGCTACGACCATCAATGTAGCCGCGGCCCAGAATTCAGACGGCAGGCCAAACCACTTTGGCAGCTGTACAAACTCAGTGAAAAACTTCCCTGCGACGCACAATACGACAAAAGTGCTCAGTGAGCAAACAAGCCGCTGTCTTCTCGACGAAACGCGGCCTCTTACCTCCGCCTACAGCAAAGTACGTTGTCGCAAGGACGCCACTGGTCAAAGCCGTGACCGCGATCATCGTCCGCAGCAGCACAGCATGAGTGTGCGTTCCAAACCGGAACTTGATCCTATGACCAACAGCAACAGCACCAAAGCACCAAAGCACAACGTAAGCATTGTATCGCTCGTTAGTAGCCACAGCCCGTCACCCCCCCCCCCCCTTTTCGTCCCTCCTCTTCCACATTGAAATCAACTCGAGCAAGTACCATTCTCCTCTCGTCTTGACCTGACATCGACGCGACAAGTTGCCCGTGTAGGCCAATTGGAAGGCCAGGAACAAGCACAGCCCGCCACGGATCTCGACGTACATGCCCTTCACGCCGAGCGCATAGACGAGCGCTGTATTGATCATCGTCCCAGAGATATCAATGTACGAGCTCACGTCGGCCACTGCCAGTGCATACCAGGGAATCTGACGGGCCCCTAGATAGTATTCCTCTAAAACACGATCCGATTTCTCGACTGGCGTAGCGCTCTCGCGCGTCTTGTCGTTGCGACAAGTCGCTTGACGCGCACGTTGCTCTCGGACAGTGAAGAAGAGGCCGACGAGCAGGACAGAGACCATATAGGCAGCACACAGCGCGAGGTCCAGCGTCCCGAGCCCGACGACAGAGCCCGTGACGAGGTCGGAGCTCTGCATTGCGATCGGTGTGCGAAGAGATCCCTGGCTGATGGTACCATGTACCACCCACCAGCTGTTTAGGACCGGACCTCCCGCCGCTGGTCGGTTACGTCCGACAGGTGCGATGGGGCCTTGAAGTTTACGATCAACGACAGCTATGTTGGTATTTTATTCGCGACGGTAAACATACTGCCCTTTCAGAGGTACGTGCTGCGTGGTGGCCTTTTTTTCTCTCGCTACAAATTGGTAGTAGACTAAACACGTGATTGCGACATGTTTTCTCTTCCTTTCTTGCCGGCCCGAAAGCTACGCAGCGTCTACAGGTGCAGTTGGTTCTGCTTGTTCGTTGGCGTCTTGGACGGTGTCAGGACACTCGCGGCACGAATGATTTATATCGATCGATAGGAAGCGATGAGCGTGTCGCGGCCCTTTTGAAAGGGCGTGGAGAGCGTACTGGATACCACGTGACGGGCAGAGCGTACGTGATGCCATGTGACGTGTGTAATCAGAGCGTTTGAGAGTGGACGAAGGACAGAAAACAGACTGACACACGACTCCCAACCGCCTCTTGTGTCCACACAAGTACAAAGCATGAACGACTGTGTTTTCGAGCGCTTCCCCGGCGTTACTTGGGGTCCACACTGCGTCCGGCACAACTCGTCCGCCAACGACCGGTCGAGCGACTGAACCCGAATCTCACGCGCGTCAAGAGCTGTACATATCATGCACACGAACGATAAAAAAACAGGCAGACATGTGGCGTCGAACAGTATGTAAACAGCGCACAAAATTGATGACAAGGAGAACAATGGCCCGACAACTAGTGCATGTCAAAGGAGCTCTACTCGTAGTGGTATCGATGTGTTCACGTCCGCTGTCGATCGAAGATCAGTGTCGTCGATCTGATCCACGTCGCGTTGCAATGCTGCGACAAGTGCGAACGTCCGATAGGACTATTCGATTGTACTCCTGAGTGCAACAGCTTTTCTCAAGAGCGTTCGTACGCTGTCTTTCCATAGCAGCGTTCATAGCTCTGTTGCAGCCAGAACCGGACTTTATAGTCGGATCTTTATGCATCGCACTGAGACTTAGACGTATGTGAAGCGCTACTAGACACGAACGAGCTGATCGAACGGCTGCGTGAGAGAACAATGGATCGATCAATGACACTATACATTCGAACGGTAGCATTACGCACATCGGCAATATCTGCCGTCCTTATTGCCCACGCTACTCTCGTCGCGCTCTGTTTGCTCGACTTGTTCTTCGATGCTGAGTGCATTGCCTCGGCTAGCACTGCTCTGCCATCATCGCTTAGCGTCGTACGATCTCACTCCACCGCCTCTCCAATAACTTAAGCCCGTCAACAACACGTTGCGCTGCCGGAGCGAGGCAGGCACGAAAGCCGTCTCGTGTACACATACACACCCTGCGCACAGAAGAAACACAGTGCGTCGTAGCTACGCGTAGTTGACGGGGATCATGCGTGGCCGCTGCAGGTACACAGCACACGGGTACTCCAGTCCCGCCTGTTCTGCGCCGCGCTTACAGACCAAACGCTCACGAGACGTCTCCTTGTCTCCTCGCTCCTGCTCAGCCTCGAGCCCTGTCCTCTCGTCGCAGCACATCTTCTTGGACCGGCGCCGCGAGCTCAGGATGATATTCGCCTCGCGCGCGTGCCGCGTGATGAGGTCGTCCGGGACACCGGCGGCCTGGAGCAAGCGCGTGCGCTGGCTGGGCGAGAAGCGGTGCACGCCCTCACTGCACTCGGCCATCTCGCCCACGTTCGTCGTCCACGTGAACTCGGGCGTCTCGGCGAGGCCAATGGGCGGTCCGCCCTTCGTGGCAATGGCACTGCCGCCCACGCCGACGCCGAACTCGTGGACAGTGATCGTGGACCACGTGACGCGCTTCGTGGACGTGGCGGACGTCGTCCACCCGGTGGCGCGATCGTGCGCGTCGCTCGAGCTGTCCCTCGCGTCGTGTGGCAGGCAGAGCGACTCGCGACGCGCGCAATGGGCCGTCGAGTCGGTCGCTGCGTCGAGAGACGTCCGAGGAACGTCGTCATGGGGCAGTGTGGAGGAGGCGCTGCAGTGGGTCCGTGTGGCTGTGACCGGCCAATGGCTTTGACGGTCAGGTGGCGGTGCACTGCTCGACGACCGCATTGCCTTCGAGCGTCTGCGTGTGGCGCGCAGGGGGTGCGGATGAGCTGACGGCGATGAAGAGGACACTGGCGCTGTGCTGCTGAAGCTGCGGTGGCTACTGCTGCTACGGCCGCTGCAGCTGCTGACTTGGTGTCGTCGGGTGGGCGTGGACGCGGGTGGACCGCGCACGGGGCGTCCGCTCTTCGTCCGCTCTTCGTCCGCTCTTGGGCGCGCGCTAGGTACGATACAGCTGGGGCCAGTAGCGTCGGCGCGCTCTTGAACAGGCGCGCGGACGCCTTTTCTATGTCGACGTCCACTCCGACCTCTACTGCAACCAACTGACGCGCCTTTTGCACATCGAGTGTGGACCACGCACGTCCTCGTCCACTACGGCGACTGACACGGCGTGTGCACACGGAAAGTGGACCATCGCGTCTCAGCGATGCCACGACCATCGACAAGTCTCAGCTATTTATCGCTACAGATCGCAGCAGCAGCAGTCAGCAATTGCAGTCAGTCGGTCAATTGATCAGTCGGTCAATTGGTCGATTGGTCGATTGGTCGATCGGTCGATTGGCCGAACAAGTCGCCGATCGACTCGGGCTCAGGAGACGTCTTCGAGCGCTCTGCTCGGTGCTGGTCCGAGTCGGCGGTGCTAGAAACAGTCCCTACCCATCGATCGACCGCTTGCCAGCGTCGAGGGGCATTTGCCTCGCAGACCTCCCAGACTTGATACGCAACCGCCGTTGACTACGGCCACCGGACGCAATCCAGAGCCTTGGGCCGACTTTCCCCACATGCCACCCCTCATACGCTCTGGATATTTTCTGGATATTGTTCAAGTACCGTAGCTAGAGGCAAACGAACAGGCAACGAACATGGCGGGTGTGCGACCCGTTGCACTGTTGCAGTTGCTGCACTGCCCTCTCCCCGTCGCGTGACTATCGTTCGCGTCATTCGTCACGTATCGCCGTCTATCGATCCCACAAAAACACGTCGCGATTACGGCCCGAGGTGCGACCAACGCCACGAGCCGATCCCACGCGAATCGGTTGTTGCAGGCGCGTCCACTCAGTGGACGTCTGTCGGTCCGCCTCTTTCCCCACCGTAACTGCCGACACAATAAAATGTGCACAACCGGTCCACTCGCCGACACTTACGCCTGTGGAGTCCGCCACTCGGGTGCTGCTGCGTACCGTCGCGCGACATGCGCTGTGGCAGCTCAACGCGTCATAATCACATCAAGTAAAACCTGTCAAGTCCGACATACAAAGCATTGTCAGCGTGCAACCTGGCCGCATAGCCGTCCACTCGTCCGCTCGTCCACTCGTCCGCTCGTCCTCTGGTCCACTTGACAAACCTCGAATAGAGCATTCGCGACCTTTCGCTGCTTGGTACGCTACGAAGCCGTCGGTGCTGGCTTTTGCAGAGGACGAATATGCGACAGGATACAAAGCAGGATAAGGAACAGCTTCGAGATCGAGGAACCTGTACATCCCGGTGGCACGGACCATAATTGGGAAGCTGCAGAAGTCGATGAACGAATACAGCGCGACAATCAGAGGTTGATACGCCACTAAAAAGCTATGGCAACGACGTGGCAGCTCTCCAAAGAGAGCATGTTTGTCGTATCGGCCTTCCTGGTGTTGTTCATGTCTGGCGGGCTCATTCTGGGGTAGCTACAGAATACTCATCCTCTGTCATTACTGCAGCGGATCGTGCGGCAACGGCCGGATGCTCATTTTCTTATCCTGTTTTATACAGGTTCGGTCCCGTCTACTCCATGTTTGTACGCGATAAGCTCTGGACTAAGCTGTGTACAAAAGACGAGCAACAAAATCGCAACAAGAACAGCGGCGTGTTGTGCGCTGCACAAGAAATTCAGCTACAATCGCTGTTTTCAACGGCTTTTTTGAGTCTCAGTGCGTCCAACGTCGTTTTTGGCGTGTTTCTCGATGTCGTGGGGCCTCGTGGAACGATTGTTTTGGGACTTTTACTTTCGACGTGTGGAAATTTTGCACTTGCGTTCAGCAATCTACAGGCAGAAGGGTCCGGTTCGTGGATCATAGCTGGATACTCTTGTATCGCGATCGGTGGAATGGGTGCCTATCTGGCTGCGTTCCAGATTTCACAATTGTTCACAAGCCAAGGAGTGGTTTGCAGTACCCTTTCGAGCTTATTCAATTGCTCGGGGTTCGTGTACGTGTTACTGGGACTCGATGGCGTGACGCGGACAGCCTTCTTTTGCGGTTACGGGTAGGAGCTCCAAATGGGGTACAGGTGTTCCAAATTATATACGGAGAAGGCAGTGACGAATGTTGCGTACTTGTGTTTTATTTTTCTCTGACTTGCGTAGAATTGTGGCAAGCGTATGCACAGTTGCTGGTTATTTGCTGTTTCCGACGGACAATATCAGGAAGCCGAGGGACTTTCTTGCGATCCCTCTGCTGCACTTTGAAGTTCCCCGAATCAATGTATGCATGGCCGTTGCGTTCTATCATCGGATGCTGCATTTTTTGACGCTTTCGTATCGTACACGTGGGGTGGGGCTGCTTCCTCGACAGACTCCTGCCGTTCTCGTAGACGGCATGCAAGAAATGCTACAACGGCAAGACTTGTGGCTTCTTGCACTACTTTTCGGCTGGGTATCGCTCATATTTGCGTTCGTCGGCGGTGCGATTCCGAGCTTGTTGGTCCAACTGGCTAGAGATGACACCAGGGCCGCGTCAGTGTATACAGATATCATCTACCCCATTGTCGTGAACAGCACCTTTTGCTATTCACCCATCATCGGCTACGTCATCGATCACTATGGATTCAAAATGGTCTTCGTGGCCTGCATTGTCCTCGTCCAACTGCTGATTGCGCTTCTTCTGGTGCCGTCGCTTCAAGTGCAGTTCGTCACGTTTATCGTCTTTGCGATGGCCCAAAGTTGTCTATACGCACTGCAATTTGCCTACATCAGTAAGTCGTCACGAGAAATGTGACAACACTGCTAGCTCGTTCCTCACGTATTTGGTGACGTGTGTTGGTGTTTGCGTGTAGTCATGTGTTTTCCTGCCGAGATCTACGGCACACTCCAAGCGTTCCTTGCAACGATCTCGTTCTCTTTTGGGTTACTGAACTATGTGGTCAATCCGTGGACCCAGCGATACCTTGACGGCGACTACACCGTCGTTCTTGTACTGCTGGGTCTCCCAACATTTGTATGCTACGCCTTTCTGCACGTGGTTCAAGACTGCGAGCAGCGTGATGTGTCACAAAGGGCAAGAAGCGAGTCCGTTGGAGCAGATCCGCTTCCCGAAGAAACGATTAGGCTATTGCAGGCGAAATAAACTGTCCGTTGAGATTGCAACTGGCGGCCACAACTTGTTGTATTGTCACATGTTGTTTCCTGTCATCCAAGTACGCCTAGGGGAGTTTTGTACTGATGCAAGCAGCAGAGTTTGACCATTTTGCCAGTTGTCAATATGTATTTACTGCTAAAACAGACCCCACTAGCGCGTGGTGAACATGTAGCAACAGGTTTTTCGACTAGCCTTACATTTGGAAGGGTTTGTATACCAACGGCATGCGCTAGGACTCGTTTCGTCCTCATCGTTTGTCACAAAGCCACGTACACTCAACAAGCACGAACCTCGTTCTCCATCAGTATCAAATCGAACGACAAAAGCGCTGAGCTCACGTTCAATAAGTCTGTTTCTGCTACCCGTGTCAAAGCGCTGTTGTATCCTCACTACATGCACACACACACAATTTGTTGGTCATGATCTACTCCCATCTGATTGTTTCGAGACGCTGAATGACCTGTTGATCGTCTGCACAATGACTGAGCGGTGTGCACCGCTCATCTTCGCGATTTGAGCCGGTTTGAGCGTTTCCACGCGTAAATTTACCTCACGTTGCGTCGTGGTTGCAACCTGCATGCCTGTGATTCATTCGTACAAACGACAAGACGACGATATTCGTCGTCGTATACTTATCAGAAGGTCTAACGCACGGACACGAACACCCTGGTGCCTTTACGACACGCAATGCGATTACTACAACTACATCGACGCTGTCTACATCAAGTTCGGGAGTGCCACTGCGCTACGAGGTATATGATCTGGTGGCAAGACCAACGAGATGCATTTGGATCCAATGTTCGACAACAGTCAACAGCGATCGTGATCACTACGGAGCACCTGCAGATGTTCGTGGTCGATGCTACCGCAAATGTAGCGATACATCTGTCCATGTAGCGTTGAAAGTATCTCTCATACCGAGATGATCGGCAAAAGCGTCAACATAGGCAAGAAATGGCTGTCTTGCAAGTCTGTTGTTTGCTGACCTAGTGAAGCTCGAAGCTTACTGCACTGCTCTTCAGGACAAGACAAGAATAGCCTCGACAGTTTACTGGCACCAGCTCATGGTTGTGCAACAAATGAGTAGGAAGAAGAGACTACAACACAGGAGAAGCAATGACGCTCACAGAGGAGACGATGGTAGAACTAGTCGACTTCAGCCATGTGTACATTTCTGCTCCCAGCAGTTTAGACACGACAAACTCACACAAACGACTATCCTGAGACAGCCGACAGCTATGTATGCAGAGAGGAGCACCGACGAAGACGATGTGATGCATTTACGGCATTTGTACTGCTCGCGTCACGTATTCGCTATCGATCGTCGAACAGGCAATGAATCATACTGCAGTGTATCCACGCCCACTTGGGTGCTTTTGTTTCTCCAAAGCTACCGCTAGAGTAGCAAACGGTATCAATGGCAATATCAATATTCCATACACGAGAAGTGCTTGCATCGCTAAGCAGCAGATACTGTGTTTGCCCACTTTCGTCTCACGTGGCTTACGGACCCGGACTCAGCATTGGCACACTAAGTGTGCAGAATGTACTGCCAAACTCTTTCCCACGTCATAATATTCGTGGTCAAGACATCCCACCCCCTCGCTACAGTTTACACACGAATTCAGCAAATGCATTTTATTCTCAGATCTTCAATCTAAATACATTAGACGGTTCTAAATATGTCGCACAAACTGTCAGCTTGCCATAGCATGACCTGTTTTGCTGCTACTTCACACAACAAGTCATGCCTGTTTCTTCTCGTTCTTTGCTCCCATTGCGTCTCTGCGTCCGTAAACTTTCTGGGCGAAAAAAAGTGCTGACATGTCGAAAAACGCTCCTTCACAGCAAGGAAAGAGAGCCTCTGATAAGCAATACGACAGCCGCGACCGCGCGAAGATATGACGTTTTTGCCGGACGAGACACATATTGACTGCCACGTCTGTGCACGAACAATGGCGTGATCGCAACGTATCCCTTGCACCGACTCTAGTCCTCGATGCCTTTTCTATATACAGACCGTGTCCATTGATGTGGGCGTAGGCGTTCTGACTGCCCACAACTATTCGGTGCAGAGATAAGCCGTAGCAGGGCAGCAGCTGGAAGACGAGCTGCGCAGTGGAGACCGTCGTATCGTGACTATGGTGCGCTGTCATTGGAGCGACATCGCGTGGCGCAGGAAGCCGCTGGCCGTGATGACGTATCCTACGCGATCAACTACGCCGTAGGGGGCCGCGTGGACGACCGGAATCCGGGAATCCGCATGAACGACGTGCGAAAAGGCAGAATCCGCACCCCAAAGCGTTCGCAAACGCAAAAAGCTGCTGGAAGAGCTGTCCCTACGCTAGGGATGAGAAGTGCACTAGCTCGTGGCCGACTTGAGGTACTTATGAGCCCTGTGGCCGTCATTACTGACTGAACAACCGACTCAAATTTGCAAGGATTGAGACGGACTTGACGGGGCGTTGCTTGATGACCTTCCGACGGTCGAGTGGACTCCTGGGCAGACGATACCAAGTACTTTCGATCGCTTTTGGCACACATTCACCTTCTGTCAATCTGACTCGACAGTATTCCCTCAATTGATGTGATTATGACGCGTTGAGCTGCCACAGCGCATGTCGCGCGACGGTACGCAGCAGCACCCGAGTGGCGGACTCCACAGGCGTAAGTGGCGGCGAGTGGACCGGTTGTGCACCTTTTATTGTGTCGGCAGTTACGGGGGGAAAGAGGCGGACCGACAGACGTCCACTAAGTGGACGCGCCTGCAACAACCGATTCGCGTGGGATCGGCTCGTGGCTTTGGTCGCACCTCGGGCCGTAATCGCGACGTGTTCGTGGGACCGATAGGCGACGATACGTGAAGATCGACGCGAACGATAGTCACGCGACGTGGGGAGGGCAGCGCAGCAACTGCAACAGTGCAACGGGTCGCACACCCGCCATGTTCGTTGCCTGGTTCGTTTGCCTCTCGCTACGGTACTTGAACAATATCCAGATATTCAGAGCGTATGAGGGGTGGCATGTGGGGAAAGTCGGCCCAAGGGGAAAGTCGGCCCAAGGCTCTGGATTGCGTCCGGTGGCCGTAGTCAACGGCGGTTGCGTATCAAGTCTGGGAGGTCTGCGAGGCAAATGCCCCTCGACGCTGGCAAGCGGTGGATCGATGGGTAGGGACTGTTTCTAGCACCGCCGACTCGGATCAGCACCGAGCAGAGCGCTCGAAGACGTCTCTGAGCCCGAGTCGATCGGCGACTTCTTCGGCCAATCGACCAATCGACCAATCGGCCAATCGATCAATCGACCGACTGACTGACTGACTGCAATGGCCGACTGCTGCTGCGATCTGTAGCGATAAATAGCTGAGACTTGGCGAGCGTCGTGGCATCGCTGAGACGCGATGGTCCACTTTCTGTGTGCACACGCCGTGTCAGTCGCCGTAGTGGACGAGGGCGTGCGTGGTCCACACTCGATGGGCAAAAGGCGCGTCGGTTGGTTGCAGTAGAGGTCGGAGTGGACGTCGACATAGAAAAGGCGTCCGCGCGCCTGTTCAAGAGCGCGCCGACGCCACTGGCCCCAGCTGTATCGTACCTAGCGCTCGCCCAAGAGCGGACGAAGAGCGGACGAAGAGCGGACGCCCCGTGCGCGGTCCACCCGCGTCCACGCCCACCCGACGACACCAAGTCAGCAGCTGCAGCGGCCGTAGCAGCAGTAGCCACCGCAGCAGCTGCAGCAGCAGTAGCACAGCGCCAGTGTCCTCTCCATCGCCGTCAGCTCATCCGCATCCCCTGCGCGCCGCACGCAGACGCTCGAAGGCAATGCGGTCGGCGAGCAGTGCACCGCCACCTGACCGTCAAAGCCATTGGCCGGTCACCGCCACACGGACCCACTGCAGCGCCTCCTCCACACTGCCCCATGACGACGTTCCTCGGACGTCTCTCGACGCAGCGACCGACTCGACGGCCCATCGCGCGCGTCGCGAGTCGCTCTGCCTGCCAACCGACGCGAGGGACAGCTCGAGCGACGCGCACGACGTTCGCGCCAACCGGTGGACGACGTCCGCCACGTCCACGAAGAGCGTCACGTGGTCCACGATCACTGTCCACGAGTTCGGCGTCGGCGTGGGCGGCAGTGCCATTGCCACGAAGGGCGGACCGCCCATTGGCCTCGCCGAGACGCCCGAGTTCACGTGGACGACGAACGTGGGCGAGATGGCCGAGTGCAGTGAGGGCGTGCACCGCTTCTCGCCCAGCCAGCGCACGCGCTTGCTCCAGGCCGCCGGTGTCCCGGACGACCTCATCACGCGGCACGCGCGCGAGGCGAATATCATCCTGAGCTCGCGGCGCCGGTCCAAGAAGATGTGCTGCGACGAGAGGACAGGGCTCGAGGCTGAGCAGGAGCGAGGAGACAAGGAGACGTCTCGTGAGCGTTTGGTCTGTAAGCGCGGCGCAGAACAGGCGGGACTGGAGTACCCGTGTGCTGTGTACCTGCAGCGGCCACGCATGATCCCCGTCAACTACGCGTAGCTACGACGCACTGTGTTTCTTCTGTGCGCAGGGTGTGTATGTGTACACGAGACGGCTTTCGTGCCTGCCTCGCTCCGGCAGCGCAACGTGTTGTTGACGGGCTTAAGTTATTGGAGAGGCGGTGGAGTGAGATCGTACGACGCTGAGCGATGATGGCAGAGCAGTGCTAGCCGAGGCAATGCACTCAGCATCGAAGAACAAGTCGAGCAAACAGAGCGCGACGAGAGTAGCGTGGGCCATAAGGATGGAGGAAGTGCACATGTATGTACAAGATCTCTACACGCTTTCTATCCGCCCATGTGCTCGTATCTCTCACGACTTTCACAATCCATACATTGCGTCTTTGCCGTTCTTGCCATCTATACGATCTCGACATCCGTCAACTGCAGCCTCAAGCTCATGTGTAGAGAAGACTGGAACTCTGATACAAACTTGGGATGACAACAAGACATGTACGAGAAGAGCTGGAGCAGTAGTAGTAGTTGTAGTAGTTCTACTGCCACTACGATGCCGTTAGTAATACTTCTCAATCTACGTCAAAGCAGAAGGGCTTCGCTGCCACGAGGTCACTTCCCTTTCCAGCCCGAGCCCGGCAGATCGTCACTTTCTTGCAGGCTTTTCAGCTCCTGCGGCTTCCGACTTTCCAGGCTGACGAGTCCACGGTCCCAGAGGACCAAAACAGCGTGCGTCTGCTCCACAAAGAGGTCTCTGCCGTGTCGTGGCGTTGTCTCCCAAGTCGCTCTGGACGTGACCTTTTGCTGCCCTGCACGATGTCTTTCCTGCAGGAACAATCGGAAGATAAAGAGCAGGGGAGTGCGGTGCTGAATGACTTTGATAGCCGCTTCTCGGCGTCACACTTTGTTTTCGGTTGCCGCCACTGCATTGCACGGTGAGATCTCCTTTCCCTACGTGTTCATTGGTATTGTGGTTTCCGTTTCCACGCACGAGCAAAGGAACGATCACGAAGGTCGAGTTTGGTGGCACAACGATAAACAAGCGTCGTAAGCTCAGGTGGCTGCTAACCGAAGTGGTGATTGAAACGTTGACGCAACGGGCAAAAGGAGTTGAGATAACGTGACAGAGGAGATAGGAGAAGACCAGCGCTGCTACTTGTCGTTCCACAACCACTAGGACTACAGCACACACACACACACACACACACACACACACAAAAGCGCAGGACATTGAGCTGAGCTCTCTGGGTGTGTACGTCCCTCGCTTACCCTCTTCTCCTCTTCTGGTACCCCTCATGTTGTACGCCAGTGACGTGTACCTCAGTCGTTATGTGCTGTAAATTAAATGGTGAGCTCGAAGCCCTCAGCTGGTTGAAACCGCCTCTCGAATCTCCTTCCGACGTCGCTTCGCCTGCCTGGACCCAGCGCGACGTACGACACACTCGCGACTCGGTCTGTAAAGCGCGACCGATCGTCTGTTGTTTGCACAGAGGAGAGGCACTGGCACGTGTTTGCATTTACCAGCCGAGTCGCGAAGCAAATCACTGACGGATGCACAATATGGTTTGGCACTGACGTAGTACTCTTTGCACAACTGCGTGAATGCACCTCGGGAGCGAAAGTAGCAACTCGCGCATGTCAAAGTCGCTGTTGGCGGATCAGGTGAAGAGCTCCGTGCGACGTATGTCATGCGTACTAATCCATCAATCGGCCGTCCAGCTGTCTACGCCCGTGAACGAAAATACGCGACGATCGACAACAAGCAATGAAGAAGCAGAAAAAGGAGGAGAGGCCCCGTTTCAAGGGACGTGGAACCGACTGCAGTGCAGTGCAGTACAGTGTCTGCAAATACATATCTGCGCTGTTGTCAGAAAAGTATCGGGCAGCGCATGTAGTGTCTTGTAACCCCATGTCGCTTTTGGGATACTTACGATATGCAGTCAGTCAGCCACTACTATCCCTCCTATCACACTGCGACTACACTGCTAGTGCTACAACGACTACCAGTTTGTCGGTACAACGTGCGTGGAGCGATGGGGAATAATGGACCCACTTGTTTGCGGGGGCCGCGTCCACTGCGACAGGCGATATCAGTACAGTATACCGACATGTCGGTGTGTAATTTACAGCCGGCGCGCTGGTTGGTGGCACGGGGGGAGCGGACGGCGACTAGGGCAACGAGCCCGTGGGCGCGTGACCGCCACGCCGGCGTCAGATAGGCGGGCGGCGTCCGCTCACCGTCCGTCCGCTCCTTGAGATACCCACACAAGTCGCAATTGCAGAGTGGGAAGCAAAACACAGTGCACGAGGCCAAAGGCCAAAGCCCCGCGGAGCGCACAGAGCAAAAGTCTCCATCGGACGTACCCCTTCAGCAGCCCACGCGCTGTTCTCCGCTTGTCACTGCCACAGCGCGAGCACAGTATGACTTGGGAAGACGCCACGAAAGCCAAAGCTGAAGGCGCAGACGCCGTCACGCAGCAGCAGCAGCAGCAGACGGACTCCACAGCGCCCACCAGCAGCTCCACCACGTCGTCCACTATGGAGTCGGCACCTGACCAGCAACTACATCGACGCCGTCTCAAGCGTCCGCACAGTCGCTCGTCCACTGCCACTGCCACTACTGCCACTGCCACTACTGCCACTGCTTCTTCTTTGCCTCTCCACACGCCAAAGAAGAAGCGGCTGCGGTGGTCCACGATCACTGTCCACGAGTTCGGCGTCGGCCTCGGCGGCAGCTCCGTACCGGGCAAAGGCGGGCCGTCCATCGGCCTGGGCGACAAACCCGAGTTCACGTGGACGACACAAGTGGGCCACATGGCCGAGCGCGTAGAGGGCGTGCACCGCTTCACGCCGCACGAGCGCGTGCAGCTGCTGCAGCGCGCGGGCGTGAGCGAGGGCATGATCCAGCGCTTCTCCAGAGAGGCCAACATCATCAACTGCTCGCGGCGGCGGACGCTCGTCGAGGACGTTGCCGAGCGGAAAGAGGCCAAGCGACAGCGGCGCCGACTGCAGGCGCCATCGGCGGCGTCGCGTCCGTGTGTGGCTCCGTTCGTCCACCGGCCGCCGCACCTGATCGCTGTCGACTATGTCTGAGTGTTTGACAGCGGAGGACGGCATGACCCGCGCAAGTCGGGGGACGCATCAAGCGACACGACGGCAGGGGGCACACGTTGCACATATGTATATATGACATACACACTCACACTCACACACCGCGTCGTCGGACAAGCACCGAACGACAGGGGCTAAGTTATTGTTGGGGCTGGTGGTAGTCCCAGTACAGGCGATGAGTACACGACAAACACTGCATTGCATCTGCTCTCGTGTCTGTCTTCTTCCCGTCTCTCTCTCTGTCTCTCTGTCTTCCTGCCAGCTTTGACGCAAGTAGAGTAGCAGTGCCTTTGTGCCGTGACGCACTCGCTCTGGTTGGGCTGTACTTGCGCGTCTTTTGTATCCACCGACGAGCAGTCGACATACGCTGCCGCTATGCCCTCCGTCTCGTACACTATCCGGTGCAGCGATCACCTGTTTGTGCGAGGGATTCTGGAACGACTATCGTCCATATGCATAGCAACACAACAAAGCAGCAACAGCAGCAGCAGCAACGACTGAGGATTCGACTTGTGCTGCGCGTGTTCCTCGACGTACAAACACTTGCAGTCGAGTCCCACTTGCAGTGAAAAAGCTGCTGCTACTGCTGCCCCGAAACGGTTACTGTGCGTCTTTTCAGTCTGCACGTCACTCGCAGTCCACCGCACGCGAAACAAGCGGTAGTGGCCTTTTCCATCATATCGGCTTCGAACGCGACGACTCTCTCCCTCTCTCTCGATCCTCAGGCCCACTTACGTGGGACAAGAGATGCGACCGCGTGACCTCTTTGGAGGAGCCACTGACAGTGGACGGACGACGCCTTTAGTGACGGGCTCCTGGCGGATTGGGGCGTTCGGACATAGCCGGGTCGACTGACCTGCTGCTCGATCGGAGCGTTCGTTTCGTGACCACTTTGCGCGTGAGTGGCGTACGCGGGTAGGGGAAGCGGACGACGTGGCGCGAAGGCCGTTTTGCCGCGTATAGTAAACAAGCTGAGACATGTGTCGCGAGCGGACGATAGCGGGGGACTCGAGTGGATAAGGTGATGGATTAATGCATGAGTGGATGGGTGGACGAGTGGATGGGTGGACGAGTGGATGGGTGGACGAGTGGATGGAGATTCGAAAAGACCACATACACTCGAGCTGCAAGCGCCACTGGCGAGAGAAATACAGCGATGGAGGCACGAGAGTTGAGGCATGGGGTTGGTGGTGGTGCTACGGCTGCTTGTTGACGTGACGAGAGGATGTGTGGACTTGTTGATGGTACAAGAAAGCATCGCATATGACTGCGAGCTGTGGTACGCTTTGCATCGACTGCACGCTCATGTGTCGTCCAGTCGCGATGACTCTATCTGTGGGTGGGAGCACGTGGCCTGTTCGTAGGATAGTGACGCATCTGCGAACGACACCAGTAGCTGCCGCAAAGCACGCAGCACGACTGCAACAGTCAATCGAGACAGATACGATCCACAGGTTGAGACAACAGCCAAAGCGTCGCAGTCGTTTCCCACACGAGCTCATTGTACGTGGCCGCGTGCTGGTCAAGTCCGTCAGCAATGTGCAGACCTGTACAGCTGCGGCAAAAGCTGACACGAACACAGCGAGGCGGTCCTCTCGAACAACGTCGGACAGTCGTCGTGAAGAGCACCACGACAGAGTGTACAGCCGCACCACACACGACACAGCAGACAGACATCGAGCGTCTCCACCGCACAAGCGCAACTACATCGCTCCAGCCACATAGCCAATCAGTCAACCAACGTACGCCCTGCCACCCTCGTGCTCTGTAAATAGTCCTTCATTCAGTCAACAGTCTCCTCCATCGTCTACTCCCTCGTGCATGCACTTCCCTCTCTCTCTCTGCTTCGTCTCTCTTCTTCCATCACGACACACACAAAACAAGTCGTCCACTGCTCGTCTGCTCCTCGTCACGACACAAATAACAAGTCGTCCACACGCACACACGTCCACCTCCTCCTCCACCTCCTCCATCATCTCCATCTCTTCTTCTTTCCTCTCCGTCTCGTTCCCCGTCTCCTTCCACCGCTTCACGCCGCCACTTGGCGCTGCATCGACACACACAGCCGCCTCGACATGGCAATGTCCGAGCTCTCCATCATCATGCGGTAAATGCGCTCCTCGCTGCAGCCAGCGCTCGTCAACATCGTAATGCGCTCGAGCGGCTTCAGCCACCGCACGCGCCGCACGCGCAGCTTCTTCGGCTCGTGCAGCGGCAGTCCACCGCTCTCGTTGTCGGCCGCCACCACAGCTGCGCGCGGCCGCGTGAGCCCCAAGTCGCCACACCGGCGCACCCTCTCGAGCGTTGTGTGCCACACGGACTGCGGCGTGCGCGCGAGACCGATGGACGGACCGCCTCGACGGGGCACTGCACTGCCGCCCAACGTCACCCCAAACTCGTACACCGTCACAGTCGACCACCGCACGCACTTGTGCGTCGTCGCCGTCCTCGTCGCCGTCCGCTTCTTTGTCCTCAAAGCGCTCGTGGGGTCTGTGGTCGGCACCCGACGCGGCGGCACAGCGGCGGCGGCAAAAGCTGTCGTGGGCGGCATCACCGACAGCAGTGTCGGCGCTCGTCTCGGCCAGTGGACGCGAGCGGACGCGAGTGGACGGGAGCGGACGACAGCGGACGAACGTATACGTCAGTGGCGCCTCTCTCTCTCTCTCTCAGCGTCTCAAAGTCTGTGTCGCTGTGTCGCTGTGTCGCTGAGTCAGTGGGGCGGCAGTCGAACGAAAGTGGCGGACAGCGGCCGCGTGACGAGTGGAAACGGACTCTCCCGCTCTCTGTCGTCTCGCGTGGGGCGTTCCCGACGGGTTTCGGACCGCGACGGCCCATACTCAGACGCAGAGAAAGACGACTGCAAACGAAAGAGACGGGAGGCGGGCGGGCGGCCACGACGGACCGACTGACACCCACAGAGAGAGAGAGAGAGCGATAGAGCGATAGATAGAGAGAGCGATACACACAGTCTCGACCCGACCGCCACTTGGCCTCCCCCCCCCCCCCCTCTCTCTCTCTACGGTCGACGCCGTCGTCGTCGTACCGTATGACTGGCTTGCTTGGCGCGGGTCGTTGCGTCCCCATTCGCGTGTTTGATTGGACGAAATTAAGAGCCACCCACCGCATGGGCGCGGCGGTGAAATGTCCCACTCGGCGACCCACGACGGGGAAAAAGGTCAGCGGCAAGTGTGGGTCTTTTTGCCACTGCCCACGCTTCCCCTAATCCCGACGCGAGATTCCGCAACGTCGCCGGTGCAACGTGAGAAGCGGGCGCAGCGATTGATCGATCGATCGATCGATCGCTTTTGGTAAAACTCGTTCTTCGGGACATGAAAGAAACGCTTTTTTGCTCATGCGATATTTTTATCGGCTGTGGACCGCCGACATCGATCGACAAATAGTGGGCGCCGCATACATTCAGCACACCTCGTCATCATACCGGTACTCTTCACCCCCGCACGCCGCCTCGGCCACCTCACTGGTTAAAAAGATCGCATGACCCAACCGGCCGCCTCCCGAACTCCGCCCCGCCGCCAACAGATCAATTAATTGCCCAACGACGACACCCCACTCACTGCTCGCGCCACAATGACGAAGACGTCTATCGCCTGTATAGACCGTCTGCTACCCACTCTCACGCTCCTGCACCTCGTTGCGCTCGCTATGGTCGTCGTCGTTGACTGCAGTAGCAGTAGCAGTAGCAGCTCAGAGCCCGCATGCGACGACTGCTCGAAAGACACGTCGAGCTCGTTGGAAGGCGTGACGGGCCTCTTGAGCTCGGCCAAGGGCATCCGAGTGGGCAAAGCCATGCTGGCGGTCGTGGCCGTGCTGGGCGGACTCGTCGTGTGCTTTGCTGGCTACCGCCTGTTCCGTCCGACCGTGTTCGCCAGTGCGTTTATCCTCGGCGGACTCTTTGTCGCTGGGATCATTGACACGGCGTTCGCGAGTCTCGACTGGATGCCCACGGCGTCGTGGATTGGCTTTGCGATTGGCGGCCTCATTGCTGGCCTTGCCGTGCTCTTCCTCTACAGTGCCAGTATCTTCCTGGGCGGAGCCGCTGGTGGCGTGATGCTCGCGTTCACGATCAATACGTCCGTGGGGACGAAGATTATCCCGAGCAATCCGGATATTTTGCTCGTGATTTTGGCGGTCTTGCTCGGTATCCTCGGTGGGGTCCTGGCGCTGAAACTGGAGAAACCGGTTTTGATCACGACCACTGCGATTGTCGGGGCGACTGTCTGTGTCTGGGGCGTGGGCTATTTCGCCGGCGACTACCCGAACGGCGCCGACTTGAAAGAGTTTGGACGGAAGAACGACGACGGCGACTGGGTGTACGACATGCCGGACGCGTGGTGGGGCTACTTGGGCGCTACGGTCGTGCTCTTTGTGCTGGGGGTGAGCGCACAGGCCACCAAGACAGCTCGGGGCTACGACCATGGAGGCACGAAGGAGGGCCACGTGCTGACGAAGAACGCGGGACATGCGGCTGCGTAGACGAGTGCGTGTGTGCATGTGGAGAGAGCGAGAGCGAGCGCGGAATTGGAGGACAGCATCGTGCTGCGTGCGATTGGACACGTATTCGGGAGTAATATAAGCACGTGCATCATCCACCATGCACGTTGACGATCGATTTCGAGCGTGGCCGTGTCCTTCATGCGCAAGTGTGTGTGTTCTTCTTCTTCTTCTTCTTGTCGTGCCAGGCGGGGCCAGTTTGCTTTATGGTGGCAGCTGACGACGGAGATCAGGTCAGTTGAAGCCTCGTCGATGTGCTTACATCATTTGATGTGCTCACTGTCTCTGGACAGTGTTAAGATGCTGCCGTCGGGTGTATTCCCGCTAGCGCTCGTTTCTCGCATGGATTGTCGTGCTGTGTCCGTACTCCCGATCTCAGAACCTGCTAATGTGCCACCAGTTGACCACTCGTTCGCTCATCGCACACTCACAAGTCCCAGCAGTTGTTTGTTTGCACGACGATGTGTCTAGGACAGCACTGCTGATCGAATGTATCGCGTCACTGTTGTTTTACAACACATAGTCATTGCCGCAAGACCGTACGTCCAGCACCTGTCAGCTCCTTCATTCTAGCGTCGAGATCTGTGACAAGAAGCATTGTCGGTGCCAGCGCTAGTAACCTTCGCGCTCTCCGCTGCTCTTCACAAATGCTTTGACCGTCAATCCCAGCAACAAACACATGACAAACGAGAGCGTCGCCTCGAAACTGGCACAGAACGCTGCGACTTGTAGCTGACGTGCGGCGGGGTATGCACACGCAAACATGTGGTCACTGCACCGTCTTCACAAACACAAGCCCCGTGTCGAAGGTTGGCTGGAACCCGAAGCTTGCGATTCCATGGTAGCACTACCCAGCTCGAGTCGAGGAAAAAGATGAACGACATCAGAAGGAAACACGCCAATGTGTTGCACACCGACCGGCCTAGCATTTCGTAAAGCCTCTTGCGGCGGCTTACTTGTTGTTGTTGTCGATGGCTTCTGTCACTTCAAAGAAGCCGTCCAATCCAAGCATTGACGCAAACTTACTGTCAAGATTGTGCAGCTCAATGTGGGTGGATTCCCACTCGGCAAGTTGGAGAAGGCCGGAATCGACAACAGACCTGTCCACGGGTTGGCCTCTCATACATACTTTTGAAAGCAGGTGTGTCACTGCAGCTGCGTAGATGTTCGGATTTGTCAGACTGTGGCCATCAATTGCACTGTTCCACAGCAAAATGCTTGCCAGTACGTGACAGAAAGCCAATACCGGCATCTTCATCTTCGTCGACTGGTCATCGAGCCACGACCAGTCAGCAAAAAGCACGTACGGCAGCTTCTTCAGCGTGTGATCCCAGAGGTGCGCCATTAATTTACTTCCGAAGCCATTCAATCGAAAGGTGCCGGACTGAGGACATTCACTCGTCGCCGTCAGTACATCAAACATGAGTGCAAAGAGGTACACCGATGGAGACGTGTCCACATTGCCCTTCATCGCTGGTAGGAACGATCTGCACCGAAGCTTTCGGGCCAGAGCATACATCGCGAGTTCTTGACGGCGACTCCACTCGGTGATGACGTCGTCCTTGTCTACAGCGTCGGACACAGCCGCAGGATTCACAGACAGCTCTAGCTCCTCGATAGCCAATTCGCTTGTTCCACGAGCTCGTTCCATCAAGTGTTTGATCACGCATTTGGCCCACGAAAGGTGCTTCTGTCTGATCATATCATCATACTTGGCGCGTATGCTACACGCATTGAATGCGCATGTTATTTGGGAAGCCTTCGAACTGGTCTGCTCTGGCACATTCTGTCTGTTAAGAATCACAGCTTGGAGAATGCACTGCGTCAAGCACACTGGAAAGCTTTGCAGAAAAACGTATCGGCGCTGAAAACGAAGCACTTGAGGCAGTCCTGCACACTCATCGGACTTCAACTGCGTAAAACTGGTAGTCCACTGGACATTGAGATCGGGAGCGCCACCCAAGCAAAAGTACAGCAAAAATCCCATCTGTAGATCTTCTTCTTGCTGCAACAGGTCGGTCGCTTCGACGCGGTCATTACTCGTACTGCTCGGCGTTGCCGCCACAGCAACATCAACGGCTGGTGTCGTCATGAAAATGTCTGTAGGCTGCAGCGCTTCTTCTTCCTCATCCAACACAACATCAAGAGGTGCCCCTCTTCGCGATGTCGTCGACTCTCGTTCGTCGGCCACATGGACGCCGTGATGGTCATCGTCGTCGTCATCTTCGATAACGATGACCTCTTGTGTCCTGCGAGACCGTCCTTTGCGGCGAAATAATCGGGTCGTTTGGTTTTCTTGACTCTGCTCGATTGCGTCTCGTCTGGTCTCCCGGTAAGTAGCTTGCGGAGAATTTGCTAGCGACGAGTCCGCATTCATGGCAACATCTACTTCTTCATCACTTTGCGGGTTGCTTCGTGGACTGCTGTAGCGAAAGCGATCATCCCTGTGAGCATTTTGGCCAAATGTCGCCGATCCATGATCACTATCACATGACCGGTAGCCAGGTTCACCCCAAGATGAACGATTGTGCGGGCTCCGGCTCCGACTCCGACGACGTGGACTTCGGCTTCGACTACGATGTCTTCTTTTTGGCGCCCATGCGATACGATTATGCGGCGGAGACTCACGCGGTAGGTCATGTCGTGAGGGCGCCCATGTGATACGGTCATGTGGCGGAGACCCAGGCGGTGGATCATGACGAGAGGGCGCCCATGTGATCCGATCATGTGGAGGAGACTCTTGCGGTGGATCATAACGTGAGGGCGGTCTGTCTCGATAATCACGAGATGTTACTGATGGCGGTCGCGATGGCTGCGATGTCAGCGGTACGGGGGGTGGAGTTCTTCCGTAGTAGTGCCAGTCCAAGTCTTTGTCGCGGTCTTGTCGAGCAGCGATTGCGTGTTCGACGGCATCTTGCAGTCGCCGCATCCCCTGATCAAATTCATGGTGCCTGCTCTGCACGTCAAACACGGCGTCTTTTAGACGCGTAATCTCAGCAGCATGCAGCCGTGAATCATGACTGAGCGCATCAAACAGCTGCGAGCTGAGTTCTTGCAATCTCGTTTCAGCAAACTGCTTCTGATGGCTCTCACGAGCAGAGATCTGCTTTGCAAGCGACGCAATATCGACACCAACCGCATGAAAGTCTTGGTCGATCCGTCGTAATTCATTCTGAATCCCGACCAAATCTTCTTGACGCACAACGCTTTGTGACCCATGAGATGGGTTGCCAGAGTCCGGCGCTGCCCATCCTACTGCGACCATACCTGCCTGCTTCTCCGTTTCATCCACCGCAAGACGAGCCGACGCTCCATGCGCAGCAACACTTTGCTTCTCCATCTCGACCACTCTGTTCGTCAGCGCTTGCAGCTCTGCTTTAGTGCGGTGCGCTTCCTTCCGCTTCTCGCTCTCCATCTTCTCCACTTGCTGCTGCAGCTGCTGCATCGCTTGCCACGACACGACTTCCTCTGGCATTGCTCTCTGCAACATTATCCCACCATCGATTTGGTCCTTCAACGACTGCACCATTTTCGCCAGCAACCGAAACTCGTGCGTCGTCTCGTCTTGCACTTTGACCATCACTGTCTCCATCTTTGTCAGCTGCTGCTGCTGCGTCGCCACGGCCGCGTCGCGACCCTCACGCACCTGAGCCAGTTCGTCCTCATAGTGCTCTTGGAGCTCCGTCAGCTGCGTCAACAGAAACTCCTCCGTAATGCTCGTGCCCGTCAACCGGCGCAGCTCTGTCTCGATCGCCGTCACGCGAGCGCTCAGGTGACCCAACGCCGCGTTCCATCGCGTGTCGGCGGCCCGGAGCTGCTGCTGTGTCTCGTCTTTCGTCTGGCTGCTGGTCGTGACTGCTTGTTGCGTCTGTGCCGCACAGCGCGCGGTCTCTTCGACCGCTGCGTGGACTGTGTCGTGGACTTTTGTGACGTCTGCGCGAACGCGAGAGCCCTCGCGCCGCAGCTCGCGCAGGTCGATGGTCAGAGCCCTGTGCCAGTTCTCGAGCGTCTGGAGCTGCGCGTCGATGGTGGAGGACGCGGCCGACGTCGGCGTTGCCAGTGGTTTGCTCATGCGCTTGCGCTTGCGCTTGCCCGTGGCCGGCGGCACTGTTGCCATGGGCGAATCGACGAGAGTGATGGTCTTGGTGTCTGGTGTGGTGGACGTCAACGATGCGACATGTGGCACCAACGATCGGGTACAGCAGGTGTACGAGAAACCGGACGACCGACGAAACGGTGTGGGAGTTTGCCTCGCTACAACTCGACGCAGTGTCCCGTTTCCAAGTGGGTACACATCCAGCCCAGACGTTTACTAAACCGACACATACACACACATATACACACACAGAATGCAATTTCTACTTGCGTCCCGTGTTTATTTGTTGCCATGGACGACGTCGAGATGACCTTTAGCTGACTGCGGTAGCTAGATAGATAGATCGATCGCTGCTAGCCCGCACCTTCGCCAATCCAGAACAGGCGGTGCTGTTCAAGCAGCTGCTGATCAAACTGCTCCGCGGTAGACTTGATGTTCGGTATGACATGCTTTTCTACAAATAGCGACAACAAACACGCACGATCTATGATGTTAATATGCCGCCACTTTGTTCCACACGTTGCCGGTCGTCATCGCGCCGGCTGCTCGAAGCGGCCCGTCGAGACGACCGGTCGTCGTTTGTACACACTTGCTCGTACCTCCATAGACGCTGAGGTGGCCCGATAGACTGGATGAGCGTGACGAGTAGTGGGGACTTTCGCCAAGCTGAGCAGCACACCGACCAGCAACAAACGTATCTTCTGCAGGAAACATGCGCCAATTTTCATCGTCCGAGCCTGCTGGACTCGAGAGACTAGATTTCAAGCTCTGAGGATGACTCGCTTGTGCATAGCTATCCCCCACCTGGCTCGACGTCACACAGTCATACATGCTATTAAGCTCGCTACAAGGCGTTGGCATCACGGAACTCGTTGCTGGCGTACTTCGCCGCCGGTCTTCACTACTTTTGCCAGCAATGCCAAACAGCTCTGGCGCTGAGCGTGCCATACTCGGCACCATATATTTCGTCCGTTCCTTCAATCGATGAATATCGCGAAGAATTCCACACATTCCAGATCGAATCTCGTCCATTTCCTCATGAACGCGTTCTCGCTCGTTTTCCTGCACTTCACGCACGTGGGCCATCTGCTGCAACAATATGTCCTCCAGATGCCGACGGAACCACTGGTTGTCCTGTACGAGCGTCTGCTTTAACCGACACATCTCCGTGTGAAGGGTTTCCAGCTGCGCAAGTGCCACATGTATTCGATCCGTTGTCTCCTGTTGCGTGCGTTCTGCTGCATTCTTGACAGACCCATCATCAATAATTTGTGCCCTATGGTCGCACACTTCGTCCTGCGACCGCTCGACCTGTTGCAATTTCACACCCAGTGATGTTGCTACTGTATACAAACCACCACTGTCCCCGTCGTCGTCCTTGTCGTTCGCCTCAAAAAGAGACGGGGCTTGACACGTGCTCTCTGCGAGGGCTCCCAGTCGAGAAACCAATCTATTCATCTCGTGCGCACACTCCTGTCGGAACGTGTGCAAATGCGTCTCGGTGATCCCTCGACTGCTCTTGATAATGTCCACCTGCGCCGAGCACTTGGCGATCTGTACCAGAGACTCCTGCACGAGCTCTGCGTTCTTCACCGAGCGCTCCTGATAGTCTCTCTGCAACGCCGCGAGCTCGTGCGCCACAGCACTCAGCGCTCCCAGTCCCAGCAGCAACTGGTGCGTCTCTTCTTCCCGCAGCGAGAAACTGCGCTTCAGCGACGCGACACTCATTTGCAGCTGCTCGTTCTTTGCTGCAATCGCTGCAATGTCCGTCGAGATGTCTCGGTCCAGGACACTGCTGCTGCTGCTGCTGTTCCCTCCGGCATCGTCCGCCGCGTCTGTCTCTGCGCGTTTGCTGTCCAACGGACTGGTTGCTGTGCCGTGAATCCACTTTTTGTGTCCTGCACATTTCGATACAAAACGACAAATTGGCATAAAAAAGCAGAAAAAAAGACAATTGAGCGGCCGCCACGTCCTCAACAGCAGCAGCGACCCGCACAGCATCGACTACGTGTCGTACCGTACGCGACAGACGAGCACTGTCCCGGCGTGAGAGACGCCGTGTTGTTCTTCTTGGACTGCGACTCGAGCTCGCCCATGGACGCCACGCGCGGCCGCTTGTTCGAGTCGTGCACCACGACGGGCACCCGTGCGCTCTGGTCCGCGAGCGCAGGTGCGGCGTGAGGCGGTGGCTGGTGCTCGACCTTGCGCAGGAGCGCTGTCGCGATCTCGTTCGTCGTCACGGACGCGGCCATGTTGGGCGCTTCGCGACACGACAGACGGAAGAAAGAACAGCCCAACTTGTGAAACACGGCGCGAGTCAAGCAGGAACAACAACAACAACAACGCACGGGCAGGTGTGTCACTTGAAGTTTGTAGGCAAAAAACAGAATTGGAGCGATTTGATTGCACCAATCGGCTTCCACAGGGGCCTGTCCGAGCAATCGCAGCCAGCGGGCCACCGGCTGTTTTGTCTGCGACACGCCCTTCCACCGCGTTCTTCACTGGTCCACAGTGCGCAATGGTGCGCAAGAAAAGGAAAGGCGTGGTGAAACAAGAGGCGCAGGCCACTGCCGCTGTGGAGGGCGGCAGTGCCGCATCGCCACGCGGCGTCGACCTGCGCCAGGTGCTGGCCAACGTGCCTACGAACGTAGCGCTGCCGGCGGCGCTTGGCGGCAGCAGTCGCGATCTTGCGCAGTGGTACGACGCTCTGTGTCTGGCGCATCACAGTTTGTACGCGCAACGGAAGCAACTTCAACTTTTCCGTTCCAAGTGCAAGTTGCTTGTTTCCGGTACCGATTGCGCACTCCAATGCGCCATCTGGCAGCTCGTGTTCCGCCTCAGTATCGAACGAGCGACACAGCCGCTGCGCAAGAACTTGGACCTGGTGCTGCTCGTAGTGGCGCAGGCGAGCGAAGCTTCGACGCTATCGGCGCTGCGGGTCGTAGCGGCCACTGAGCTGCGGACGTCGTTGGACGCGTTGTGGAGCGACGCGCATGCGGCAAAGCAGTTGCAGGTCGAGCACCGGGTCGCGATGTTGGATCAGATGCTGCACGTGGTCGAGTTGCCCTTTCTCGCTCGAGCGCTGGTGGAGAATCCGAGTACTGGAGCTCTGTATGGGGACGTCCAGCACCTGCTGCAGTTTGTGACGTGCTGTGCAGACCAATTGGAGGCCCTCGGAGCGCCCATTGTCGAGTACCACGACGCAAATGTGGACAAGGAGATCGACGAGCAGGAGGCGGCGTACGAGACGGAAGGGATCGCAGCTGTAGGAGCCTCGGGGACCAACGGAGTGATGGTCGCGTCGGAACGCTGCGGCCATGCGCTCAAGAGTGTGATTGTGCTGGCGACGATGAAGGACGTGCTCGACAGCCGCTTGGAGCACTGTCGCGGGCCGAGTCTGGACGCATTGCTGGAAGCGCTTCGGTGTATTTTGAAGCACTGTGTGCTGTTGCTGCAGACAGTTGTGGTGCACAAGGACCTGCTGACGCAAACGGGACTGGCATACTGTCTGGTGCTTCGACTGCTGCTTCGCTTCTCGGTGCCCGCTTCGGACAGTTGTAACGCGGTCACGAAGTTGTTGTTGCAGACGGTGTATCCGGAGCTGGACATTGTCAGCATTGACACGTGTACTTGCGTACAGTTACGGGCACATCTTGAACAGGACATGGCGAGCTTTGCCGGTCTGGCGAGGCTTGCAGTATACCGTGGTGTACTCAACAGCCTCACAAACGAGGATCTTGCTCTATCGGCCACAGAGGTCGGACTGGTGAACGAAGCCTTGCAGTCTGAACAGACGGTACTGAACGCCATGTTTGTCAACGTCCAGCAATGGTGCGATCGAGAGTCGTACAATACGCGTTTGTATGCGTTTCAGGTGCTGGAGGCGTTTCTGCGCCGAGGAGCGCTGATTTTGCACAAGCAGTCAGCGCGCTGTGCTCCTAGTCACGTATCTGATGTTCTGTCGGACGAGACTCTTGCAAAGCTAACGACAGCTGTGCTGCTGAATTGGGAGCATCCGTCAAAGAAGGTGAACCAGTTTATGGCCGTTGTGTTTGCTCAAATTGTGAAGTATTTGGTGCTTTCTGGTGGATTTCAAAAGTGGAGTGAAGCGATCTTGCCTCTGTTGGTAAACTTGCCAACCACTAGTCGCGCCAAGTACGGGTCGTTGGCACTACTGGTTGAAGTAGCTGGGGCTAAGCCTATGTTGCAGGCAAGTCCATCGCTGTTGCCGTCGCTGCTTTTGGCAGTAGGGCAGAAGGACTACGCCGCCCCGGCAGCGGCGAATTTATTTGCTCAAATTCTCGACAACCTTAGTCCGGCAAGCAGCAAAAATAGTAACTGTAAACCTGATGACGGGGCAGTGGTCGCGCGGCGCCAACTCTGGCTTTCTGATGTGGTCAGCGTGCTTTTATCGAGTGATGCAAACCTTCGGTCGCGCGTTGCCATGTATGTGATTCCTCTCTTGCTAAAGAAGGACCCTGACTGTGTGCCTATCCTGATAAAACGCTTACAAGAGGTAGCTACGAAGGACCAGGCTGACACAGCAGAGGCTGTTGATATTGCGTTGTGGGCTGAGCTGGTAGTGTTGAAGTTTGCGCGAAAGAAGATGGCACCTGAGAAGCTGGTAGGTGTGTCAATGGATCATATTCCACGCGGCCTTCGCCATGCCAATACGGAAACACGCGGCGCAGCTTTTGATGCGTTGTGTGCGTCGTTGAAATCGACCAGTATGCCCAGTGACGATGAGTTGCGATGGGTGAAGCATTATTTGGTGGTGAACGGTAAGGAGATTGGTCCGTCTGGTCGCATGAACACGCTGATCGGCCTCAAGACGGTGTTGATTCGCATAAAAGAGACTTTACGTGTCACGAGGAACATTTTGACGGAGGACATTCCGAGTCTTGATGATGCGGCAAAATGTGACAAACGTGCCGCTGCAGCCTCGTTTAAACATTGGACACAGCTCTTTGTTATCGCATCGGTATACCCTGGCGCACTTCCTCAGCGCTTGACGTTGGGTCTAGAGGTCTTCCTTCTCTACATCCAGCTGTTTGGTCTAGGGAATGACGAGGCCGAAGAGTCCACAGAAAGTGTCTTGCTCACTCGACACATGGTGACGACCCTCCTCAATATGCTTATCAGTGCGTGGGACTCCGTTCGGTCTCTAGCGTTTACCATACTGGACTTGTATCCAGACGAGCTCCCGGGCTATTCTACGCGCGAAGAACTTTGCACGTTTGTTGACTGGGCTGTTGGTCTTTGCGGTAGTCCCCGTCAGCGTGAGAGTGACGCTGGTGCCATGTTCGTTCGGTTGCTGTTCCAGAAGTGTAGTTCAGCCATTCAACGGTACGAGCTAACGTTCCAGTGCACATCGAAGCCACAAGTTGGTGCTGCCGGAGTAAAAAGTAGCAATCCGGATGTGGCTTTTATATTGCAATTGACGCAAGTCATCCTTACACGCGTTGAAGCTCTGAGCCTGTCGGAAATACGACAGGGCAAGTCCCCGCTTGTGCATGGCTTCTTGCTGTCACTGCATTACGTGTTGGAAAACGTGGATTTCGACAAGCATTCCAGTAACGAGGCTACAGACTGGTCGTGGGCAATGAAGCAGGTGTTTTTGGCAATTCACCAGTCCATGGGTGCATCTCTGGCTGTCGTAGGTGATGCGACTTCTGGCGCGGGCGACGAGAATCTGTCAGCCTCGTTTGCTGGTGTAGTGGGCGAGGTAAGTGCAGTGGCGGAAACATCGAGCTCAGCGTTGCGAGTAGACTGTCGTGGTCATTTGATTGTAGAAGACGGTGACGGTGGCTATGATGGAGAGGAAGACGGTGGGAACGCAGAGCAGCGTGCCGTGGTTGGCAGCTGGCTAGCTGTTCGTGAGTGTGGTGCAATCATCGAGTTGCTAATGCGTCGCGTACCGCTCCCAACCTCCAGCCCGGTGTCGACTAGCACACCTTTGTTCACTGTTGACATGGCGCAGCTCGGAGGAGAAACGCTGCTTAACTCGTTGTTCGAGCTCAAGCACAAGGGTGCAGTCGCTACGGTATACCAGGCATTCGAAGGTGTTTGTCGCGCGTTTCTTGCTCACGGTGAACAATGTGCGGCACTTGGGGACTTGCCAGCGCAATGGGCGGATCGTTTGCTGGAACGCCTGGAACGGTCGGAACAGCATTTCATTTTGCGTCGTAGCTCAGGCTTTGCGTTTAGTTTTGTGGCAATTCTCCGTGCTGAGCCGCGCAATTCAGCAGCCGTTATTTTGCCCAAGGTGATGTCGACGTTGTTACGCCTAGCCGGCAAGGACACTGATGCTGCATCGAAGCGTGAAACGCACGAAGAGCACCATTCACTATGGCGCGCTCGTGTGCACGCACTGAACATACTGAAACTCATTTGTCAGGATGGAGTATTGGCAGAGGACGTAGCTTGTTACGTCGTGGATATGTTTCAGCTATCTGTGCGCGGATTTGACTGTGAATCGTGGGCTGTACGCAACTCTTCGATGATGCTTTTCGCTGCAGCCACCCAGCGTGTCATTGGAGACAAGCGCATTGCTGACGGCAAAACGCACCAACAAGTTGCCTGTGACGACGTGTTCTCGCGCTTTCAGCAGCTACGTAGTTTTCTTGCCCGCGAATTGACTAGGTTGGTCGAAGTTGACAGCAAGTCAAGTGGTACAATCGCGGGAGCAGCGCCGCCTGGCCTGTACGCATTGCTTCTGTTTCTGAGCCGCGTTCGCCCCAACGACGATGATGATCAGCGCGTAGCAAATGCTCCTGCTTCGCCATGTGATGACGAAAGTGGTTTGGCAAGCTTTGTCCAGCTTGTTATGGAATGCGCTTCGCAGCGGGCAATGGCGATTCGGTACATGGCCGCGAAGGTCGTGGCTGCTATCGTAAGCGATGCTGACGCCGCATCCGTTATGTCGATTCTCTGCACGAAACTGCCCCAAGGTGTCCGAAGTGCAGGCGATCGCCTGACTGTCTCGAAAGCTATCCCACACAACTTCGTTCACGGCACACTCGCCCAAATCTGCTACCTCACGCGCAAACACTTGCTTACCCGAGATGCGCGAGAGAAACTAACCGTTGCCGCGAGGGATGCACAAAGCGACTTTCTCGAGATAGTTGTGACCAAGCTGCTTCCATCAACGATGTGGTTGTGGGCAGGTCAAGACGCTGAGTCCATCAGTGCTGTCATCCGTGCAGAGTTGGTCGCGAGTGTGGACACCGTCGTGCAGTTTTACGCTCAAGATATTGCTGGTGCGCTTTCGACGTTGAAGTCGGACGTAATTAGGAGAGCATTCATTGCGCTTGTTGAACAAATTCGGGCTGAAGTGGAGCGCCAGCTGCAGCAGCGCTGTGACTCAGATCGGCCTACTGCGGTCCTTCTGTCTAGCCAACCGGGCAGGTACGTGCTGGACCGCACACTTGTCTCCATTTGGTTTAGCATATGGGCGATGCCTGCGAACGGTCGACTACAAGAGTTGATCATAAAGAAAATGCTGGCGTCCAGCGTACTCGAAATCCGCAAAAATGCAACGAAACAGCTTGTGAACAAGCTGGCTATTGCGGCCTTGGACACGGACTCTGTTGCTGAGCTACAAACCATTTTGATCGAGCAGTTGCTTGTAGAGACACACCCGAAATTACGGGCCCGACAGTCGCAACTACTGGTTCGTTGCCAGCTTCACCAAGCCAGTGCAGTCACGCCGACTCATCGATCGGAGTTACAAACCCGTTTGGTGCGCGTACTCAGCGTCTCGGCAGATATACAAGTTCTCGCACCGACGATGGAGTTGCTCGCTCTTATGGCTTACCAGCAGCCGTGCAAAGATGACGCAGACATTGCGTTGTATCGGACTTTGTGTCAGGAAATCGAGTTGCGGTCAGACGAAGCCCAGCCCCTGATGATTCGGCAGGCTGCTGCCTCTGCGCTGCATCACAGTGGTCTTCTGCGTCTGCACAACAAGCAGGACGGCAGTACCGTGTATGCCGAGCTAGCGCTGGCAGGATGGATGAGTGCATTACGACTGCTCCAAGACGACAGCACGTGTGTGAGAGCTGTTGCGCGGCACGCTATTGAGAATGTCCTTGGTACCGTTGACCCGGCTCGCATACGATGTTCGTCGTCGGACGCAACGGTGCTATCTCTCGCGGTGGAGTATATCGTGTCCTCCTTCGCGCATACTGGACACGGTGCCACGTCTTTGTCGAAGATGTTGATCCAGCTTATCGATGCGCCTGTCGTGCTCACTGCATATGTCGGTGCTGCTGGTGCCAAGGCCCTAGACTGGGACAATTTGTACCGCCGCATATTTGAGTACGAAAGCAGCAACTACTTTGCTGAGCGAGACGGGCTCGCACAAAACATGGTGTACTACTTATTGGCCCGTTCGACTGGCGATGACGAGTCGATTCGCCTCTTGTGCGAACAGGTCTTGACTCTACTGAACAAAGCACTTCAGATCTTGAACCAAGAGTCTCGATGCTCCGACGAGGAAGCCGGTCGGTGGCTAGGTGGAGTTACTTACTACCCGGACGTCTTTGCTCCTGCGTTTGGCCTTCTCGCGGCGGGTGTCGCCGTCGTGACCTCGATGTCATACTCGTTGACTGGCGATCTCCAGTCTCTAGCTGTTCAAGCTCGTGAACTCGCCCAGGAAGCGTGTGACATTCACAGCAAAGACGACGTCATGCATCCTCTAATGATGCGGGCGCTGAAGCTACTTGCCTGTACAGACCATCCGTCGTCACGGCAAGATGGCACCGAGCCAGTGAGAGAGCTGCTATTTCTGACGCCGCACTGGATAGCTCTGACCGATTCGGTCAACAAGTAGAGACCGTTGCACGTGAATAGAGGTCACCAAGGCCGCGCAATAGAAGAAGACGCTTACTTTTCGAGCAGCGCACCATCGTCTGGACATGGCATTGTACAGTATGGATGTTGACGAGGGATGGCCACAGCGCTGAACGCCGTCTATAGAACTCCCGCAGTAGCTGTTCAAGTCGTCGCACTGCTCAAGATCCCGCGTTTGCAGTTTTACAGCTGCAAGTGCATATCGAATGGATCAAAAATGAACGAGCACGGCTCAGCTAGAGGACAAGTTGGCCATCCAGTACCTGCATGAGCTCCAACCACCAACTGTACCTTTTTGGTCAGCGTGTATGAGAGCGCCAAATAGCATTGGCCATCACTGACACAGCAACGACAGTGGGTCGCTAACTCGCAACGATGGCATACTCGACCTGCTTTCGGTCCATCACGATCATGCGAAGTAAGAGGTCAAAGTGGCGATTGACATCGGTTGCCTGGAGCGTCGACAGCTATCATCTTAGCGTTGTATGTCTGCGCACAACAATGATAACGGGGTAACAATGACAATAATGTTCAGCTCGTGTCGTCGTGTGTTCCCAACGTTATCATTAGTCATGAGTTGCATAAGCAGCCAAAGTAACCGGACCACACCACGCAAAAGAAGTTTTTGCTGCACGGTACCAGCACACTTCGGTCGAGTGGTCGAAAGATAGGAATCCCTCGAAACGTCACCACCAGGTCCCTCTCCACGACATCCGTCTGACAGCAACGAGAGTTATCGATGGCGTGTTTGTCATCGCTAATGGACCCTTACGATCTCTATGGACGACAGTGCCTGTATGCGTCACAGGGCCACACTGATCCCACTGGAACGATGAGCAAGAACGCACAACTCGCTAATGGCGTCTCCACATGACCGACTTCCTGTTGTCAAGATTCTTGCTACTCCTAATGGCGTTTCCACATGACCGACTTCCTGTTGTCAAGTTTCTTGCAACTTTTAATGGCGTCTCCACATGACCGACTTCCTGTTGTCAAGTTTCTTGCTAGTTTGTGTCAAAAAGTCAGGATTGTGCGACGTTTGATACTCCCACGTGCGTGATTAGTTCAGTGCCGTTGCTTGTGGAGACACCGACCGACATTTGGGAAACAAGAAACCACATTGGACTCAATCGTATCTCAAATTCATGGATGGGCTCAGCAACTATTGATAGAGATACGTAGAGACTGCTGCAACAAAAAGCACTTCATGACAGGAAACAACAACGAACGGTCACACTGGATCAATGAGGGGCTCGACTTGGTCTTCACTTCAGTTACACACGGCAACGGCAACACAGACCGCAACGTGGTTTGCAACTTCCCTGTTCTTGTTGAGCACCGCGTCGCTTGACTGCACGTGGCTCAACCCGTTCTGCGGCAGATTGGACAACTCGGTTGGGTATTGTTGCGCTCGCACCACTTCGTCCAGTTATGAGAGCAAACACGATGGAAATTGTGGCCGCAAGGCGAAGTCACGTGCGAGTCTTTGACTGGCGAGCCAAACGAAGACCAGCAAATGGTGCACTTGTCGCCAGCACTGGTAGCAAGCGGTTTGGTCGATTGCAGCAGCTTCGCACTGACCGCTTCGTCTCTCGGTTTGACTGCCATCAGTAGACTCTCCCACTCGACAGACCCTCCATTCTCGTCGCAGTCAAAGCGATAATACACGTATCCTTCCGCGTCCTTCCACTGGGAGCACATGGACAATCGATCACTTGCCTTCATGCCCTCGTACCGCCAGCAGCAGTTGTACAACCCGCAAGTGACAGGATCCACTTTCGAGCGGCACATCGGGCATCGGACATTGTCGTCTTGGATAAGATTGAAGAGCGCAAACTTCTTGCGGTCGATGATCATGTGTCGGTAGGCACGACAGTCGCGATTCTTACAGCGACCTTCGATGTTAAGACCTTTACTGCAGACCCGCCACTCGGGGGCGTCTGGAGAAAACTCATGCGCAGTTAGAAGCGAACCATCCGATACATCCGCAAAGGTGTGAGGTGTAGACAAGCGACCAGCAAATCCACCACAGAGGGTCAATACCAACTGCAGCGTGCTGTTGTTGCTGACATTGTAATACGACAGCGAATGGTGGTCTTTGACCTGCTTGCCGGCATAGACAAGACGCTGCGATTCACGGGGCATGCCGATTTTGTCTTCGATCTTCATCTTGGCATACTTCACAGTGTCCGTTGGTGAGCACGCAATCGAAATGGTCGTTCCAGTCAAGGTCTTGACAAACACAGTAATGGTATACCATCGCGCGCGTGTTTGTGTCGTCGCGACAATGCGTGGGCTACTTCCAGCTAGTTGAGGAACAACACGGCTCAATGGAAAGTCATTGCCCAGCCGCACACCATACAGCATGAGACTCGTCACCTCGCGCAATTCAGTCGCTTTGGACGCGCTGTCGAGTTTCTTGTTCAAGATGTCAACCACATCTCGCATAAGTATCTCCTTGCCGTCCTTCTTGCAGAAGTCTGAGTTCTTGACATCAATCACTCCATTCTGCCCTCGAGCGATCTCATCTCTCCACACGACAGGAAAAGCAGATGCTAACATGGGCTTCGATCGTCTGTGTCGCTCTTGTCAGGATGGAAGTAAACTGAAAAATGAGCAAAATTGTCTGCATGGTACAGGCACCACAACCGTTGCGAGCAAATCCAACTGCCGAGTAGCGAAAGCTCCTGGAAAGACGCTGGCTTCCAAGGATCTACCAGGACAAGACGTGCAGCAGTTGACCCGCTATCAATGTTTCGAATTTAGCCACGCCTTCCGGGGACAAGGCGTCATGGAGGTGTTGTGTTGGTAGTTCGACAGCTTGTGACCAATGGTATACAAGTTACTTTACTGACGTTGTCCTCTTCTGGAGAGAGACATCCTCAACATTTCCCATGTCTTGCAGCAAACTATAGTCGAACTCAAGCTTCAAATCTTGTTAGCAAACAAGCGTACTACACTCTGTTGAAGTTTTTACGACCCTTTCGGGGCTTCCTTGTTGCCAAGAAACCTTCACGGATGTAAAGAGTTGAGCCAGTAGTCTGACTGTTGGTCAAGCACGACTAGAGTGCCTTGGCCCGCGTGGCCAAGCATGCTTTGGTAGTTCATCTAGTCCGTATGTATGCTTCGAGTCGAATGCTGACGGTAGTCGACTGATGCCGAACACCCATAGTCGTCAGCTCGACTTGTTGTGCTACGTTAAAGGTAATTGCAAATGGAAAAGTATGTTACCTGCTACCATCGGTTCTACATTGGCTGGAGATCAAAAGCGCCACGATATCAAGATAAGGTAGTGAAATGTAACGCTTGAGAGAACTCGACACACAAACTGTCTAGATATGTACATGTTGTCACAACACAAGGAGCGCACAACTTCATCGAAAGCTGGTATCAGCCTTTCGATCTATCTGCGATTTCATCGAGCAAGCGATTCTGTAACTATGTTTATTGGTGATACCACGCAAGCACCTCACTTACCACCGTTTGTGTTGATCCGTAAATGCTTTTGTGGGGCTTCACTCGGTTCCTTAAGATCAGTCAAGCGAGAGCGTACGATAAAACAGGGAAGTGCTATCATCTCCGACTCCACTTGTTTGTTCATGCTATACCGAGTGCACACCATTTAGGTAATCACGCATGTTCGTAAATGGGACATACCTTCCATCGCCACCAAAATGTGTCGAGGCATGACTTGATGGCCCCTTACAACATAAGTTGCGCTCACCATCGATCACAAGATCGACAATCTTTGTTTTGAGAAAACTGTACACGTTTGTTTGAGCACCTCCTTCGATACAATGGATTACATCAGGCCACCTGTGCTTCTACTGTTGTGGTAGTAGTAGAATCATAGGTGGCCTAATTGGGCATACAGTATAGGCAGAATTAGAGGGACTCTTACTTACAACAAATACGATTGTAGCAGCTTTGTCGTCGAGTGCGCAAAGTCAATGTATTGATCACAAGTTTCGCAATTCAGTCGTTGTTTTGCAACCAACTTATACGCTGTAGGTCCGATCTAACTGAGCGTTGATGAGGAAGTGTCATGTACAAAAAGTAAGTCGCACATCGTGGCTCATCCGTAAACGATGCGTCGGGTGGCCAATGTGTTTCTGCTAGCAACACGACTGGACAATCCGAGAGGTTCCGAGCGAATATATACACGTCAACTGCCATCTTGCGAAGGTAGTGCGACAGTAGTGAGAGCATTGCGGGTTTACTCCGATTCCGCTCTGCGAATAATTTAGCGATGCGCACTTGCTGCAACGTCTCGTACGAAGAAGGGGTCTTTCCGGCAAGTAGTGAGCATCTCCGCTTACACAGCGTCCTCTCGAACTTATGAAAACCGTAGGTGATCCACACATACGATTTCTGCCGCTACGCCTCGGAGTCTGTTTTCATGCCACGATGAATTAACTTTGTCATAGCCTTGCAGCAAGCTCGATGTATCGGAGGCCTTGGTCTCCACTCATGTACTTGCCTCGTGAGTAAGTCGACCTTCTTATACGGATGAGACTGAATGATGAATAGTCAGATATGCGACTGCAAGGTCTCATGGATGTGCATGTGTCGTTTCGTAATCAGCTCTTTGCTTTTGTCACGCCGCAAGCATTTTCGAGCCAACGTTGCATCGACACAAATTTGTAAAATTGACCCGAGAAAAACAACACTGCTCTTAGTAGACAGTGACTTGCAAAGTATTCATGGATGAACACTCATTGCAAGCGGCTGCAGCTTGCCTAGTCAGTTTCAGTAACACGTTTTGTCAATTATTGCTGCAGCAACCCTCTTTCGTTGCGCTTTCCTCGAAAAAATCAGGAGGCTGTGCTTGGTCTGATCGCTAACCAGGAGTTTTAGATGCAGACAGGTCCGAATGTTTATACGTCGCTGCTAGTGTCATGCATCATGCAATATGTGTGGTCCTAATATTCTAGGGGAGCACGTGATTGCGTTGATCGTCACAGTCCTTCGGACATGTCCTTTTGGCGGTTCGAGCATGGGCGGAAGTGTATCAACATATGCTCGGATTGCCGAAACGACACGCCACCGCAGCAGTATTACTACAGCAGTTCGCTCACATGTTTGCTTACTTCTGTTCCAGTCGGTCGCACAGACCGTACGAAACAATCAAGCTGTCAGTTCGTCCAACACATCCTCGCTAACACACACAAACGCACATCTGAAATCGACAAAGCCCCTCGTTTTCAACAATCCCGTACACTTGCTGCCGCTTGCCAGCAACCTAGCTAATGAACAAATTCGCGAACGATGGCGAAACAAGACAATCGTCCTGACCCAAAATCTTCACACCTCCCAGCTCGAGCGCTTACGATGATGCCATTGGCACAGTCCCAGCTCCAAAAGCGCCATCAAGAAGTAGCAGTCGTTGCAGACCCAACGCCGTTCGACTCGTCAGCATCTAGTGAGCGGGTGCGGGTCTCGATCACCTGTCCCTCCTTCTTTTCTTCGTCTTCGTCTCCGTTTTCACCATCGCTGTCGTCTATCGTAAACACGCCCTCAAACTTGGCATCCGTACTAGCATCTATGTCTGCACCAGCATCCGCGTCCAGGTCGTCGGGCTCTTCGAGCGCAGCACGCAGCATCTCGTGCGTCACCTCGTCATATTTCTGTTCCAGGTCGTCATTAATTGAACCATGGTCGCTGCCTCCATCTTCTGCCGTCGCCGTCTCCGATGACGACCCGCTGTCGTTTTGGTTACTCGCTGTACTCGACGTCCGCCGTCTCCACCCCCACTTCTTCGGAATCGACACCTCGGACAGCTTACTCCTCATCGAACTAATCGACTTGCGAGGAAGGGACAACTGACGTCTACCGCTGCGCGCACTGTTTCGGTTGCTGCTGCCATTGTTAGCTGCGGTACTTTCGCTTGTCGAGGTAATGCTCGCGTCGCCCTCCCCTCCGTTCACTGGCATCGACGTCATCTTCGGCATTGTCTTTTTGCGTCGCGACATCTTCTGCTTTGGCTTTTTCTTCAACGGATCCTCGCCCGTGCGAAGAATTGTATCATAACGGCAGTACACACACTGATCAGTGACGTGGTCCAGCAGCTCCTGCGGTGAGGAACCAGCGCGGTCACGCATGAACGCGTGCCATGACGAGTATCCTCCATCCAGCGTACTTACAAAACGGAACCCACGCTTTTGGAAAAACAGCGCGGCCTGGTTCAGGCAGTCAATATCCAGACGAACAGCATCACGAATGCTGGTTTTAGCGTCTTCGGACGAAACCAGCTCAGGAGGAATACCCACACCATGGCCGACCAACACGACATGAACTTGAGACTTCATTGGATCGAAAGCTTCCATGCTCTTCGCTAAAAGCTCTGGTGAGTCGAACACGGACGGGTCCAAAGTGTACGCCACCGGGATTCGACCGCTCTTCAGATCCCCCGAGCTGCGTAACCCCCGGCAGTCCACGACGAAAAAACGAATGCTGCTGCTACCCACATCCTGCGGATCGCCGGTCTTCTCGCTACATCCCATGAGCTGGCCAGCCACTTCGTCAACACTGATAGGAAGCGCAAAATACGCTGACGGCGGATCGTGTTTCTCTGCCGGGTGTTCCCACTGCGTCTTTCCTGTCTGCGTGTGATACCAGAATATTTTACCCGCGATCGAGCGCGACTCCTTCATAACCCACTGCGACATATCCACCGCAGCTTCGGCAGTCGATTTTCGGTCCGAGCTCGACGGCGCACTAAGACCACTAGATGACGGTCCACTCATGCTTCTGCTTCGGGACATTGCTCGCACTTTTTCAGCAGCCATGCCCGCGCCCGAGCCGAAAGCAATCTCGATCGCTTGACGCGACGAGCATCGCATGTCGACCGTGGCCTCGCGCTGCGAGCACATGTAGGTCTTGGGGGTCTTGCTGCGTAGACGCGAGGCCAACAAGCACAGAAAACGAACATTCTCCTCATCGTCAAACGCTTTGGGGTCGAATGTCGCACGGATTTGCGCTTGCACTTCCTCAGTCGACCCACAGCTTAGCAGCACGTCTTGTCGCCCAATCAGTGCTGCTGTTACAACAAAGAGTCCGAAGAGCGAGTCGCCCGTGAGCAAGTACTGGTCGATCACGTACACGAACGCGCTGGGCAGAATAACTTGGTACAAATGGCCTATCAGGAAGTCAGCAGCAAACAACTTGCCCGCCACACTCCATTCATTGCCACACCATTGATTCAAATAATGCGCGAGCTGTGGCGCGTGGTAGCTCAGTAGCTGGTCGACCAGCTGCTGTCGCTCGCGCGTCAACGTCTGCGTCTCTTCGTCGTCAGCACGCCGTTTGCTTTCTTCACTGACCGACGACGAGGAGTCCACAGAGCTCGAGCGCTCAAGCGCACTCATCGATCCCGTGTTCCCTGCTTCATCCGAACTAGCATTGCTCGATCGACGACTGCCTGGTAAGAGCCCTCCGCTTAGACTCGTCGTATTGTCTGCAACACTGACCGTATCAGCGACAACAAAGTGTGGCACAAACGTCGCACAAAACTGGTAGAAGCAGTCATAGACCGTCGAGAGCGGCATCTGCAGCGTGACAAACGACGCCACGACACGAGCCATCCCCGTGACGTACACGACGCTTTTGGTCGACAAGAACCACATGAGCAGCACCTCCAGTTCTTGCTGCACACGGTCCCGAGCTGCAGCGTCCATTGGCTCGGGCATCAAGTTCGCCACGTCCCGACACTCGCGGCACAACAGCGCATCGCGCGGCAATTTGCTCACGCGCTGCAGCGTCCGGTCCAGCAGCTGTTCGTGGGCGGCCGCGCCATGTTGCGAGCGCTTCGAGACGTCGAGCAGAACTTGCCAAATCTCAGCGCGCAGAGCGTCACAGGACGGCGGGAAACACGGGCAGACGCTCGAGAGAACGCACGTGCGGATCTCGTGCGTATTGGGACGACGTGTGATCCGTCGGGGGGCGCTGGGCGACGCTGCAAGCGACGAGGCAGACAGAGTCGACGACGCGTAAAAGAGCTGTTGCAGGTTCTCGGCCACGTAATTTCGCTCCTGGGCCGACTTGGACGCCCATCGTCGGACGTATCGACGCTGCAGGATCTTGCGGAGAATCTCTTGCTGTTTGCAGCGACGCTCGGGCGCAGTGGACGTCGGCATGGGCAGGAAGGAACAGGTACGTCGGGGAGAATGGCACGTTTCGTGCCTCGACTGGAAAACGGACGTCCTCAAATGGGTACAAAAAGGGGAGCGGAGAGGGCGACAACGAAGTGGCAAGAGGTGAGATGGTGTATCAGAACCAGGTGAGACATTGATCGTCTTGTCAAAACACGGACCAAACATGTCGACGCCTCACTATGATTCGCATGCGTGCGCCCTAAAAAGAGGCAAATGATTACGGCAAGCAGTTACGTGAGACGTGCAGAATGGCTACACTCTGTCGTGCAGCGGCGAGAGACCGTGGGGCGTCGCTGCAAGTGTATCCACAAGCTCAACCATATCCACGCGGTGCGTAATGATCCATTCACTTGTCGTTGCCGTGTGTATACCCGCTGGTGCACGTGGGGTCGAATGCGGTTGAAAATGGTATCGAGACATACGTGGCGATGACGATGAGGATAGTAGGGACACGTGACGAGGTGTGCATTGCGAAATCACGAGTCGAATCGATGCGCCCCGTACAGCTTCGAGGGTCTTACGCTTGTGGGCAAGCGGCAGTTGGGTATAGTCTTCAGCACACATACCAAGCAAACTCTCGACCGTGGGGCCTCGACAGAGGACGACAATCGAGTCTGTCGACGGCCCGTTCTCGAGCACGACTGCCAATTCACAGAACGTCTGTACAGTGTCTTGATACCGTGCAAACACCTCGTGGCAAAACTGGCACTGCCACTTTGGTGGACCGGCAGGAGAAGGCTGCGCTCGAGCCACGATCTCGACTGGGCGGAAACAATACTTGTGTGCACACGTGGTCGAGTGTCCCCGCTCGCACGTTGAGTCGATTGCACAACGTTGCACGGCACCATCGTTGTTGCTACTTGGAAGGAGCCAGCCAGCGCCTGCCACGTTCATTTCGATCATCGATAGTGCGTGTTGAGTGACAGTGTCGACAGGAGGTGCAATTGGAAACTGGTCGAGCGCAGCGTTCATGAGGCCCGGGATCATGTTCAGAACCTTGAGCTTGCAGTCGTTGCTGAATCGAGATTGGTGGCCAAAGATGGCTTTCCAATCGGCGCACAGCGCTACGACGCCAGTTGACGGCATGTTGTGATCAACTTGATGCGGCCGCACATCCATCGATACCAGGCCGTTGATAAATATACTGTGTCCAGGGTGAAGACGTAGTGCGGCCAACGCGTTGTCACCAGTCACCTCGATCGTTAGCAAGTGGTCGGATGATGCGAGAGTAACTTGCAGTTGAACGACCAGGTTGTACTTTGACATGATCGTGCGGTCCAGTGGTAGTGGGGATCGCGCGTTGGCAGTACACGCCATCAAATGGTCGGTTTTGTCGTCGTAGTACGCGTGGAAGAATGCTGCAAGTAGCGGGATGCCGCGTGATACGCGAATGCTTCGGACATGCGCATACAACGAGAAGTTGGACCACCCAGGTTTCACATCTTCGAGCGTTGATAGAGGCCGCTCGACTCTGCTCTGGTCGTAGAATTGATCTGATGATGCCTTGGGCGGACACTTTGTTGTGGAGACTCGACATGGCTTGCAAAACAGCACTGTTGCACTGCCGTACTCGAAGAAGTACATCAATTGCTGGTGCGACGAATACTCGTTCTGGATGTGCACAATTTCTGCGTGGCGCTGCTCACACACGTGCACGAAGGGATGAACAATTGTGAGGATGTCGTTGACACGAAACAGGCGACTGAGCGCCACTTGCTCGTCCCAGAGCACCATCATATGTAAGCGTTGCGTCATTCGCTGCGTATTCGGCGATGCACCACTAGGAAGCCGAGTACTCGTGTCGTCAACCTCTCCCAGCAAAATCACTTGTCGCTGAACATACAGAAGCGTTTGGCACGGTCGAATAGCACCGATATCAAGCACTTTTGCCTTGACCATCAACAGCTGAATCGCAGTCGTGTCTTGAGCTCCATTGACCAACTGATCGACCTGAGCCAGCGAAATGGCATCTGCCAGCAATCTCCGATCGAGTGCATTGGCTTCATCCAATTTGAAAGTCAGGAATGAAGTCGGTAAGAGCGCAAGGCTCGCCTGACTACTTTTCCCGCCCACTGCTCTCCTCTGCGCGTCTTTCCTCTCTAAGGATTTTGCGTTCGTAAGCACAAACTCGCGACCAGTCTGGACAGGAAACGTTGCTACACTGCACCACACGCCGTCTTATGTAAGCTATCTACTCTTCCAACAATGATATCAAAGCACGACGTGAGAAGCATAGTGCACGCACCGACTTGGTTCCATCTGCAGCTTTTCATGCAAACAGTCGATACAGAAGCGGAACCTCTGGTGCAAGTACCTGCTCACGATCGTGCTTAGTCGTCTGCTATCTTTTTGTGTCAGTTCAACCCAAGTGCAGTACTCACATGTGGATCACGACATCATGAACATCCGTTAGTTCAATTGTCATTCGGTGGTCCGCGTAGCTCACAACTTTGGCCTGCAGAGCTTCCTGCTCGTTTTCTGCCAACAAGTCTTCCACGTCTTTAATATCGCGGAACTTTCTCGTGTTGCACAGCGCACCTGCCTCTTGGTCTGCGTCCCGAGCCACTTTTTGCTCCAGTGATTTGGCCAGCTCCGTCAGCATCACTGCTAGTGTGACACCGCCTGGATACTCTTCAAGCAGTCGCAAGACGTTGGAAAATACCCACTCAAAAGGTATGCACGGGATCCTTTTGACACGCTCGCCATATTTTCGCAGCCACACGTCTCGCAATTTCTCCTGTACAAACAGCACGTGGCGCATTACAAAGTCGTGTTTTTGGTCCGTTCCTTTGACTTCGGAGCCAGGATGTGGTAACTGCTCGAGCGCTTCGATTGCATTGAGCAGATCCATTCGAGTCACTTGCGGTCCTTCTTCTTCTTCTATCGAGAGGTAAATGTGTTTCGTTTGCGAATGGGCAGAAAGCTGCAACAAGGGCGCGGTGGTCGACAATAATGTTGCGCCAATGACTGGAGTAGACCAGGCAACTTGTATCTACGGTCGTGGCGTGTCGACCAGTGCCAACTTGTGTGCAAGATACGGACGTGAGGATACTACAGCTGGAAAGAGCTGCAGCTTTAGCAGTGTATCGAGATCTTGGAAACAAGAGTCATCGACTCTCGTTTTCCAACGTTGCTGGAAGTTGCTACTGCTGCTGTTCGTCGACTGACTTCGCTGATGAGTGGCAGCAGTATGATCTGGCATCGCTGGATGTGTCAGGTGTCAATGTCATAAGCGTGCTCTCGATGCTAGTCGCTGGTTAGAGTCAGGCTTGTTGTGCAAGCAATTGGACGCAGTCGTTACGGTCTGTCAAGCCTGTTTGACACCTGTTGTGAGCCTTTTGGCACTCAGTCCTTTCGTTTCGGCTCGTCGTTTTGTTTTCGGCGCGTTGAGGCGCACACACATGCTCTGTGAATACTGCTGATGCCTGTACAGATGAAGTAGGGATACACGAAGCTTGGAAATACGACAGAGGGCAAACACAGGTAACGAAGAAGAGCTGGCTTCTTGCTAAGCGTCTACGAACTCACTTAGTATGCAATTGGGTTGACGATACAGTCGACGGCTACTGGGAACGTCTTCCCTTCTGTTGCCCAGCACATTACCAGATCCGATCAAAAGTATGGCTCTGTCGTAGCTGCAAAGACATACGTAGACATGCCATTCCCTATACGCGCAACTGCGTGTTACAAGTTAGACATGCATGTTGCACGATCCTGTCAAACTTGCGTCGTCACTTTGCAGTGCAAGTACAACACCGATCGCTTGCCGTTGTAGTCGATGAAGTCGATGATATGTCTCGAGATCGTCGGCTTGGTTTCCCACTCAAAGACGTCTCTTCGAGGCAGACTTGGCATTTGACGGCGGTAGCCCACGTAGCGAGCTAAACTTGCATCGTGTTTTTGCATTTGTAATCAGACTTTCATTTAATGATGCACGGCCAATTCGTCAACCACGCCATCTTCCGAAGGACGATACAGCGTTTACTTAGACAGTGGCGGGTCCCCTGGTAGCTCGAGGGCTTCGATTTACTAGATCTGTTCTTAGTTTGCGTGTTCGCCTTCATCACGTGTGGAACCTTTTGCATGCCTGCCGCGTGTGGCGGAGGTGGACGACGATTTCTTACTGTTGAAGTTGGACTGCAAACTCTTCATCAACTCCACGCGCAATCATAACTCGCATCGATACAAGACGCACCATTGTCAGTGTACACTTCTTCATACTTTTATCATACTGACAAGTCTTTTTGGCATTGTAGTCGCACCCTTCTTCATTCAGGTAGCGTCTATCCAATCAACAAGTCACTATGATCGCTTTCCGCATCCTCGCTCCAATTCGAGGCTCAAAGCATCTTCGTTTTTGTGCGGGACGCGCACTTGTTTTGCTTTCTTGGCAGCTCAAGTTGACAGGGCTTTCTCTGCTGACATGCAATCGCCGCTTGATACTGTCGTTGTCATCCATTCGACTACGTAGTACCCGCCTTGGTCTGACGGTCGCCATGTTTTTGCTGATGCGTTTTTCTGTTTCCACACTCGCACGAGCGCGTAGTGTAACGATAAAAACTTGCTTCCACCATTTCACCGTAAGCGCTTTGAACAGTAAATGAGATCCAAAATGACAAACACGAAGCTCACGTAGCATGGTAGCGCGAGATGTTGAGAGACATCCACACTTGTTACTTGGAAGGAGATGCCACCACTATCAGGTCGCCGTAATTCAAATCTGACACGGGTGCAGGCAACGAGTGGTTCTCATCATGGTCACTGCAATAATCGCCAAGTCAAAGAAGGCAAACTTTGCGGTAAAAGTGTGACCATCGTTTAGGAGCCATGGTACAACAAGCCAGCTCAGATATATCGGCATTACGCCTTTACGTGATGTGTATTCGGCTAGCTACTTACAACGTCGCGGCGGTGGTTTTGTGATTCATGTGAGCGAGCTTTTTGTATCAGCACTAGCACATAAGCATGTATGTGCCTGTGTATTTGTGCAGCTCACTAGCGTAATGACCTTGTATGAAATGTGCAAAGAGGCCAAAACTATCACCTAAGGAGATGGCAGGGTTGCTTAAGCTAAAGCTTCGGTTTGGCATCACGTAGCCAAAAGTGTTGTACGCACCGAAGACAAGATCGAGAAGATATGCGAGGACTGGGCCACACACAAGACGGTGATTCAATTGGCAAAGTTGTGGCGGCTTGTTGAAGTCGTGGTCGCTATAACTAGACACATACTAGCAGAAAAACCTGCACGGCGTTTTACAACACTATTGGCGAAGGAAAAAACTGAGCTACAACGGTTGAGACTGTACGTGCGCTATTTCGTATCTATCTGCCTACGAATCGGTCTAGATCCATCACTCCACAGTGACTAAAAGTGCACATACCGTTGTCGTTGGGAAGCTGCTACAAAAAGAAGCAGCGTTTGCTTAGTAGGTGACCAAGCTAGGTCAACTACACACAACCGTTGGTGACTGCCGACTAGCATGGGCCATTTCATCTCGTCGATGACTTGCAGTAGCGTAGTTCAATAACAGCATGATCGATTGTCTTTGGACGCAGTGGCAAACATCGAAACTTAAGCGTTGATCTCAACTGTCGTAAGGCTCTTTATGGATACTTCATCACACCAGCGCCTTTCCAGGAGCCCGCAAGTCTTCGACACTTGCACCTGCCTAGCGGTGGCAGTGCCCGCCTTTTCCAGAAAGCCTGGTTCATCGTTCGATTCACCGTCGTCCTGACAAGTCCGTCATTTAATTCTGAGGCATGATAGCTTATGATTTTGCTGTCCCATGGAGGGACGAAAAAGCCGGAGGGCTCGACGGAGTGGTCAGTGTCCAAACATCCGACTTGACAGGCAACAAGGATACACTTGTGCGAGATGTGGTCAAGATCCTGAACAAAAACTGGAAAGCTCCGATGAATACACATTGCGGAAGGTGACCCGCATCTCGCTGCATGGTGTGCGGCTAAGTAATGACTTTCCATTGAGTCCGTGTTGTTCCTCGACTAGCTGGAAGTAGCCCACGCATTGTCGCGACGACACAAACACGCGCGCGATGGTATACCATTACAGTGTTTGTCGTGACTCTTGAGCGGGAACGACCATTCCGATTGAGTGCTCACCAACGGACACTGTGAATGTATGCCAAGATGAAGATCGAAGACAAAATAGGCATGCCCCGTGAATCGCAGCGTCTTGTCTATGCCGGCAAGCAGGTCAAAGACCACCATTCGCTGTCGTATTACAATGTCAGCAACAACAGCACGCTGCAGTTGGTATTGACCCTCTGTGGTGGATTTGCTGGTCGCTTGTCTACACCTCACACCTTTGCGGATGTATCGGATGGTTCGCTTCTAACTGCGCATGAGTTTTCTCCAGACGCCCCCGAGTGGCGAGTCTGCAGTAAAGGTCTCAACATCGAAGGTCGCTGTAAGAATCGCGACTGTCGTGCCTTCCGACACATGATCATCGACCGCAAGAAGTTTGCGCTCTTCAATCTTATCCAAGACGACAATGTCCGATGCCCGATGTGCCGCTCGAAAGTGGATCCTGTCACTTGCGGGTTGTACGACTGCTGCTGGCGGTACGAGGGGACGAAGGCAAGTGATCGATTGTCCATGTGCTCCCAGTGGAAGGACGCGAAAGGGCACGTGTACCATCGCTTTGACCGCGACGAGAATGGAGGGTCTGTCGAGTGGGAGAGTCTACTGATGGCAGTCAAACCGAGAGACGAAGCGGTCAGTGCGAAGCTGCTGCAATCGACCAAACCGCTTGCTATCAGTGCTGACGACAAGTGCACCATTTGCTGGTCTTCCTTTGGCTCACCAAGTTTTTTCAACTCGCGTGTGACTCAGCAATGCAGCCATAACTTCCATAGCGTGTGCATACGGAAGTGGGCCAAGTGGTGTGAGCGCAACAATACCCGACCGAGTTGTCCAATCTGCCGCAGGAAAATCCAATGAGTGAAGGATGATGTGGTAACAGATACGTGAGACTCATGTCGCGTCGTTCTCGATTCCCCTAGTTGCACTGTATGGAGTATTACGATCGCGGCTCAGTCTTTTTGTCATTTCCAGCTCGAGCAATTGAGTCAGTAGCTCGCTGATTGCCAGACAGACATGTAGCTAGCACCACAGTGCTCGTGAAGTTTAATCGTTGGCGAAGTCTTTTGCGTTACGTTGTTGACAACAATTTGAAATTATGCGGGTTCAACTTTGCAGGATCTAGCTGCAAACTTGAGAACCTACGCATAGTCGTCGGAAAGCGCAAGCCCTGCACTGTAAAGTATGTATGCTCAGAGAATACAGATCAGCCCGGCAGCAGGCCTGTCGTGGGTATCAGCTGAGCACGCGCAGCACCAAAACGCACGGCAACATTTTTGATCGGCCTAACGCATTTGTCAAGTTTTAAAGAGCTTCACATGGGACGAACAAGTGTACTGAGCTGACTTGGTGACATGGCATTGAACTCATTTCCAATGTAAAGCGAATAAAGTTTCCGCAAAGTAATTGCAGCAATTTTCGCGAACGGATCGTATTAGTGAGGATGTCATCGTCGAAGGGTGTTCCGTTTGGCTGCATTCGACAACGCACTGCGCATTGGCTGGTAGAGGCTATGTAACCGCCGAAAAAGCTGTCAAGCACTGCTGACATACGCGCGCAACGAGCAATGAGCAGGTCAGCAGGCATCAGACATGTAAGAAACTATCAAAAGAGATTATAATGGATCGCTATCATGATTTGGTGTTGATACGTTCTCTCCTCTTTCGTTATACAAATAAGTGTTGGGCTTCATTATCTGCACTTCCTCGCACACACAGTGTGTGAGATTTCGAAGCACGTATCTACACTCTTACTAGTGTAGACATCTCATGTCATTGCACTATGAGCGAAACGTGCTTCGTCAAAATCAGCAAAATGTTGTGGTCCTTCTGAGCACCTCAAAGTTGTCCGCTGTGAGCTCGGTAGGTCCGGACAGCTTCCACGCCATGCGTGCAAACTTCACCAGATTTTAGTGACCTCTAGAATAGGTCATTGGAAGCAAGTAAGCTCGACTGTCGTTCCCCAGGCGTGACATGTCTCTCGCCTCGTATCGCAAGACGCAGCATACCACGATCGCCTCGTTCATCTCACACAAGATCGCGACTCGGCTGATCCAAATGTTATCGATATCCGCCAGAAGGCAGTTTAGCAATTTGAACTTCTCAAAATTTTAGACTGTGAAAACGAGAAGCTCACCATTTATACGATATTGTAAACGACAAAAAATGCTCCTGTTGGTGCATGTGCGTAGGCCTTCTAGCGTGACGATACAAAACGCTATGCTCAAGGCAGTCGAAAGAGACTTCTTACCGAGACAGCTCGACGATCTCGATGACGGCATCGAAGCTAGTCGCATCGATGAGTATGCAGTGGAGGTGAACATCATCGTGTCCAACCTGTCTGGAAGTGCAGAAGCTGTGGCCTTTAGACTCAGTTTTTACGATTCTCGGATTGTGAGCCTTATTGGACTTGGCGACGCGGCTCCGACAAACCTTGAATCGCCACGTGCCGAGATCAGGCCTCGAGCTGATCTTTCACAATGGAACGAGCGTAAGCGCAAACCCACGCTTACGCTCAATGCACACGATATCTTATAGGGCGTATGATGTACAAGCCAATTGACCAGGCAGACGAAGAATAAATATGTCATGTGGAGTCTCTCGATTGCACTCGTCAAGACCTACCCAGTACGAATGAAAACTCGAAGTGCTATGATAGAGGATCTCTGTATACGAAGCAGGAGGACAGTATCCGAAACATGAACATGTTAGCGTCACATTCAAGCTGAGTCGCTTGAGCACGGGCGAGCACGGGCGAGCAAACTGAAAAGGGAAGATATACAGGTCCTTTGTTCTCAATTTCATATGCTTATCTAATAGTACAATGTATTCATCAACAACATATTGTCGTCTCTCCTCTCATGGCCAGCGCTATAAGCGCAGAACTCTGTCATTGAACCCGTTCCATATCACAAGGCATCATGATAACATGCATCGGGGCCCATATAGACTACAAAATTCAAGTTGTAGAATCTACGAGCCGTATGTTTTTAATAAGTCTTATAGCTCTTCAGATACTTCGACTACAAAATTGCAATCGATGTAGATGACTGATTGGACGCTGGTGTATGTTGTACCCTCGCCCACTTTATAAAAAATATCCAAATCCTTTTCGGGCGCCAACGAGGAGTAAGGAAGCGTTGCGATGTTGTTGCGGAGTCGCAACAGTGTAGATGAGAAATAAATATGGTCGGATTAGCTTTTAGTAGAACGGCACTTAATAAGTTGTGTCTTACCACCCTCGCAGATCGCTGAGCGAAAGGACTCTATCTTATTCGTGGTCCCGCCTTGTGGATAATGTAGCTATATTTCAGCTGAAGATGAGTGACTAAGAAACCTCTTTACTTCCTACATTTGTCTACTGTGGGTGTCGGACAGCTTCTTTCGACGACTATCGAAGAAGATTTTCCAATACAATTTCGCGAAGCGCGCAAATTTCTTCGCCTGGTTAAGTTCCCAGTGCGCATGCAGTAGGCACATCCGGAAGAAGAATGAAATAGATACTAAGAAGTCGTTGTCTTCCCGAAGATAAACAGTACAAGATATCTCCTCTCAACATACCACAACACAGACGTGTGACGTCATCGTGGAGATGTCGTGTTTTTTAAAAGTACTAGAAAAGCGTCAAATAATAGCCTCGAGTTGTTCAAATGCCTGCCTCTGGTACAAATGCACACTTGATATGCGCTTGGGCGTTCCTGATCGCGTCAATTTTATTAGTTTAAGTGGGACGGCAACACTACGTTATATATGACCTTGCGAGTGTATCTTCGGCATGTACCTCGGCAACTATGATGTAGAACGTTGGCAATTCTCGGAGCGCTTGCGTCTGCTGCATTTACAGTCGTCCCGCTATCTCTCTGCAGAACAAGAAGTAGCTCACAATATGTTTGTACGCACAAATACAAACCTTTACGCAACGGAAGACATTCACACAAAAAGCCCGTGGTCAAACTACTTATGCCTTCATCACTACTAATTAGCGCGAACAAGCAGAAATACTAACATGGTCTCTCCCCTACATTTCTAATGCAAGTGTTATCTTCATTCGCTGATGTAGCTACTTCATGCATACGTTGCTTTTCCTCCATCTACGAAAATGCCGGCTTAAGTTTTAGCGTCACTAAGAGTAGTTATGACAATGATAAACGATTGCGCAATCGATGATCGATCTGTACGTCATTGTAAGTAAGCGCTTTTTTGAAGCCTAGCCACTGCAGTGTTGCGAGAACATGACAGTCTCGTTTGAATCTGTGGTCGCATAGTCGATTAACATCACGACAACTTTTGTATGTCTTTGAACATAGCAGTCGTGGCAAAATCGAAACCTCTGGTGCTTAGTCAACTGCTGAAAGCCTTGTCATAGTAGAGCGGTAGAAACCAGCGCGTTTCCAGGAGCTTTCACTGCTCGACAGTTAGATTTTCTCGACAGTTAGACCTGACCTAACGGTTGCAGCGTACTCCACGTACGTATAGTTCCGCTCACTTTTCAATTTACAGTCGTCCGGACAAGAGCCACAAAGACGATCTATCCCATGTTACCGTTCGCCTTTCCTGTCCTATGGAGGGACAGGAACGATCTACGACATATTGGAGTGATTGATATCCAAAGCTCCGACTTTTCCGAGAAGGACGGTGAGGAGATACTTGTGCAAGATGTGATTGTTGCCTTGAACAAGCGACTGGAAACTACGTCTACAGTTAGCAAATTGCGGGAGGTGTGCAGCATCATGTTGTATGGTGTGCGCCTAAACAGTGGCTATCCATTGAGACGTGCTGTTCCTCAACTTGATGGAAGTAGTCCGCGCTTTGTTGCAACGACACAAATGCGAGCGCGATGTTGTGCCATTACAGTGTTTGTCAAGACCATGAGTGGAAAGACCATTTCGATAGTGTGTTCACCGGAGGACACCGTGAATTGCTTCAAAGCGAAAATTGAGGACAAAGAAAACATACGTTCCGAACATCAGCGTCTTATGTTCGCCGGCAAGCCACTTGAAAACCACCATTCGCTGTCGTATTACAATCTCCAAAACAAAAGCGTATTGCACTTGGTACAGTTCTTTTGGGGTGGTGCTCTCTTGCCAACACCTCGCACCTTTGCGGATGTCTCTAATGGCTCGATCTTGACTGTGGTTGAGTTTTCTGCAGAGGCCCCCGAGTGGCGCTTCTGCAGTAAAGGTCTCAACATCGAAGGTCGTTGTAAGAATCGCGACTGTCGTGCCTTCGGACATATGATCATCGACCGCAAGGAGTTTGCGCTCTTCAATCTTATCCAAGACGACAATGTGCAATGCCCAATCTGCCGCTCGAAAGTGGATCCTGTCACTTGCGGGTTATACGACTGCTGCTGGCGTTACGAGGGGACGAAGGCAATTGACGGTGTGTCGATGTGCTCGAAGTGGAAAGACGCGACAGGAGATGTATACCATCGCTTTGAATGCGACGAGAAAGGAGGGTCTGTCGAGTGGGAGAGTCTACTGATGGCAGTTAAGCCAAGAGGTGAGGCAACAAAAGCGAAGCTGTTGTGTTCATCGGACCAAACTGACACCAGTCCCAGTGGCACGTGCACTATGTGTTGGTACGGCTTCGGCCCATCAGACGAAAGATGGCTTGTAACTTCACGTTGCGGCCACGTTTTCCATAGCGAATGCTCAGAAGAGTGGAACAGGTGGTGTGAGCGCAACAGCACCCAGCCCTGCTGTCCAATCTGCCGCAGAACGGGCTAGGGCTAGTGAAGCAAATGATGAAATGGTCAAGAAAAACATGATCCTTGCAAACTATGTCGATGTATTTCTTTCATTGCGTTGCGCGTAATGTGCCGCTCGGAATTGTTATGGTTCATTTCAAGTTTTGCTTAGGTGTGCAGGTAGCGTGCTGATTCACCTCCGAGTCCAGCTGTATACTTTTCCATTTGTATTGCAATCGTCTTCAGTTGTTGAATGTCAGTATGATTCGCACTATGCAGAAGGGCTACATATTATATCTATACCGCGCGCATGAATTCTTCCTCGAGCTTTGTCGCCAACCCGAAAAGATATTCGTGGCAATGTCGGTGAATCTATTTATGCGAATACTGCTGTACGTGACATAATGTTCGATCAACCCTGTACTTGCTGAGTATGTTAGGTCACGTTTGTTATAGGACAGTGGTGTGGGTTCGCGCGCTGTTCACCTATCCTAACACGAATTTTGTGGGATGAATCGAGATTGTGCTGTAGCAAGATCTAAAATGCACAGTCACTAGGGCCACACGCATTATATGAGCTACACAGTTCTTGTTCGGGATGAGCGCTGCTACTTGCGACAGAAATGCAGTGACTTTTTGTCTTTGCCACAAGATGTGTCCCCTATATATTGTACAAGTATTGACGAGCCGGTCGTGAGATGGATCAAATTTCGCGGGCTTCTTGACTTTACATTATTGCCGATACACAAGTGCTTGCAACTATTACAAGATTCAAGTGAGTGCTCCATTACGCCGTCCAGAAGTATGCAAAATGTCGATGATCAGACAGAATGAATAATTAGACAGTCTCAAGATTGAAAAAGAGACACATGTTCACAATGCTCTCGACCATAAGTTGTAGAATTTAGTCTCCACACAAATGTTTGGTCAATAGTCGTATCGTAACATTCTTTTGTAAATTGCCTTCACCTCATCGACGCCCCGTGGTCTCCTCAGCTCAACGCGTGAATCAATGATCTCAAATATTCACATGTTGCTACATGTCGACCTTCATCAATAAGCACTCTTCACAATCTCAGTGTGTGGGTATCGGCACTATTGGCGTACATGCCTATCAAGTAGTTATTGGGTATGTGCTCGTCCCATTTGTAATAAATGTTTATGACGGACACCATTTCTAAGATCAAGCGATGGCTGAACCACGTTTTCCAATGTCGAGGAAAATGGGCGGAATCTGCTGGCTGCTACTCTCGTTCTGTGGAAGCAAATGCGATAGTTACCGTTTTGCCGTTGTCACAATCGATCCGAGTACTTTCAGTCGCTCGCGCTGTCCTACTTATCGTAAGTGTCTGCTACAAGTGCAGAAATCGTTGCAGCCACTGCGGTGGCATACGCAGAATCAACAGGAGGGAAACTATTTTATGCATTCACCCACTTTTCATCTAGACCACGTTATCTTGTCAAGACGACTGCGCGATGCTGGAACAGTAAACGTCTTCTTCTATTGCGCGGCCTTGAGTATCTATGTTCTCATGCAACGGTCTCTACTTGTTGACCGAATCGGTCAGAGCTATCCAGTGCGGCGTCAGAAATAGCAGCTCTCTCACAGGCTCGGTGCCATCTTGCCGCGACGACGGATGGTCTGTACAGGCAAGTAGCTTCAGCGCCCGCATCATTAGAGGATGCATGACGTCGTCTTTGCTGTGAATGCCACACGCTTCCTGGGCGAGTTCACGAGCTTGTACAGCTAGAGACTGGAGATCGCCAGTCAACGAGTGTGACGTCGAAGTCACGACGGCGACACCCGCCGCGAGAAGGCCAAACGCAGGAGAAAAGACGTCCGGGTAGTAAGTAACTCCACCTAGCCACCGACCGGCTTCCTCGTCGGAGCATCGAGACTCTTGGTTCAAGATCTGAAGTGCTTTGTTCAGTAGAGTCAAGACCTGTTCGCACAAGAGGCGAATCGACTCTTCATCGCCAGTCGAACGGGCCAATAAGTAGTACACCATGTTTTGTGCGAGCCCGTCTCGCTCAGCAAAGTAGTTGCTGCTTTCGTACTCAAATATGCGGCGGTACAAATTGTCCCAGTCTAGGGCCTTGGCACCAGCAGCACCGACATATGCAGTGAGCACGACAGGCGCATCGATAAGCTGGATCAACATCTTCGACAAAGACGTGGCACCGTGTCCAGTATGCGCGAAGGAGGATACGATATACTCCACCGCGAGAGATAGCACCGTTGCGTCCGACGACGAAAATCGTATGCGAGCCGGGTCAACGGTACCAAGGACATTCTCAATAGCGTGCCGCGCAACAGCTCTCACACACGTGCTGTCGTCTTGGAGCAGTCGTAATGCACTCATCCATCCTGCCAGCGCTAGCTCGGCATACACGGTACTGCCGTCCTGCTTGTTGTGCAGACGCAGAAGACCACTGTGATGCAGCGCAGAGGCAGCAGCCTGCCGAATCATCAGGGGCTGGGCTTCGTCTGACCGCAACTCGATTTCCTGACACAAAGTCCGATACAACGCAATGTCTGCGTCATCTTTACACGGCTGCTGGTAAGCCATAAGAGCGAGCAACTCCATCGTCGGTGCGAGAACTTTTATATCTGCCGAGACGCTGAGTACGCGCACCAAACGGGTTTGTAACTCCGATCGATGAGTCGGCGTAACTGCACTTTTTTTTTTTTTTTTTTTTTTTTTTTTTCCCCAAAAAACCCCCCCCCCCCCTTGCCAACCACCCCCAACCAACACTATGGTGGCAGTGAGATTTGAAACAAGTGTTTTGTGCGGACATACGAACACGTCATAGTATATTCTAAAGTGGTACCTAGGTTGCGACGCTATTACAAGTCGCTTGTCCAGCCGATTTCTCGCACATTGTGGCGTTGTCAACTGGCGTAATGAAAACATCAATCCGAATTGTATAGATATAAACAAAATGTGGTGCGTTTTTTGCATCAGGAATATAGATGATGTGCACAGCTTCAATGGTAATCTATCATGTCTGCACAGCTGTTTGATGAATCGCACGTCGTGAGTTTGGCTGGTAGGTATACTTCGAGCCAGCTAAAGCAGAACAAACGAATAATAACACATCCTTGGATCTTGGGCATGCTTGTTGTGGCTGAATCACAACCGCCTCAGCCGGTCAATTATATAGAGAGGGCGACCACGAAGCCTTTGCAGGAAGCCACGATGAGACGTCGACATCGTGTGCGCTTTCGGATACCTGCCATCCGTAGATTGATCGTTCGCTTGGGTAAACGGCTTCGCTCTTGGGTTGGGATACTACAAGATAAATAGTATGCTGCGATCTTGTATTGATTGTACCAAAGCAGCGTAGCTTCTAAATAAAGTATTTTCGAAAAATTACGTCTGACCACAGACGACAGCTGATGATGTTGGCTGAAATGTTGGACATAAAGCAAGTTTTTGCATCGACACGTTGTCCAGACGCTTCGCGATGAGTTAAATAAATGACGGTCGTGGATCGCTAGACTTTGATGGTTTATCTAGATGTTGTACACAAGACTTTAAATGCTATCTGATTATCGTCAGTTTGCGTGTATGCCCGTCGAGGTTGTGGCGCTCTTATTGGTAGCATGTGACGAAGCTACTTGGCTGCAAGAAACAAATCTACTCATGTGTAAGTTCATGTCTTGCTTCTGAGCTGTTTATATAGATACAACGCCGGATGGATCGAACCGACTTGTTGCGTATGTCGATGATTTTGCATGATAGCGAATATCATGACCACAAGCCATTGACTATCCTGGCAGTGCTCCAATGATCTCGATCAAGACTTCATTTTGCTATGTCGAACTTTATACGTGTGGTACCTACAAGGCTAAATGCCGCTCATACTTTTCTGCGTATACAGCTTTCGTTGTGATCATATTCATCCATGCAATTAGTTTTGCCAGTGTAAGCTACTGGTAGCGTGAGAATCGACATGACGTCGATATCAACGACTTCGTATGGATCCAAGATCAGGTGCGAGGTAGGTGTTGCATAATTTGTCCAGCATCAGGGAAGTGCAGATATGTCAAGGTTGACGAAGGCGGCCTAGCTAGACCGTAAAAGTAAGGCGGTGACTTTGCAACATACAATTGAAGGTGACATGAGATAAGCGAGGATCTCGATAAAAGCAGACGGGTTTGTTGTAGTCGCTATGGAGGGGGGGGTTTTTTTGGGTTTGAGCCAACTTATACTGCTACGTCCATCGTAGTCGCAATTTAGATGATGTCGATAACTGATCCTAGTGGACCACGTCGGGCTGTCATCAAGTAGAGTCATGATAGGACTTAGTATGCTTGCAATCAGTGTTGACCACTGCTTGAGCGGGGGGGACAGGGAGAAAGGATCCAGCAACTGTTTCGCTGCGAGAAGGAATGAACATGTACGAGTAGTACCTACTGACCACAGTCGCCTTGCAAACGAGTCAACGACTCCCAGCGGATGCGTTCACGAAACGTCAGGCCAGTTCCAAAAAAGACTCTACGTTTGCTAGTTCAAGACCAAACGTTTCCAACGATTGACGTTACAACTTGTCGTCAAGTAGCAAGTAGCAGTATAGTAACCAAACACCTTTTAGCTCAGCAATTGTCGGAGAGCCTGCGGCAAAAGCGTGTGACTCGTGTATCAACAACAAGAAAAAGGCACAGTCAATCAGACTACATCCATCAAAGACGCCACAGCCAACGCGGCAATTGCGACGTGCCTACGCATGTGCTTAGACGCACTGCAAGCAGACACTAGACACTAAAGTAGTCTGCATCTCAGAACACCGCACGATACTTTCCAGTTTGCATTAGCAATAGCCTTACTCCGTTTGTAGCAATCTCCTCCACCAACCATCCATTCTCGTACTCTACTCTCCAGCTTCAGGTAATCCCCGCTCTCTTCCACACGTCCAAGCAAAACCGTCGATCACCAGATACATCACGACCAAACGGTCTGCAGGCAAGAGGCTCGCGCAGCCTTTTCGCTGCTGGCCGTCATCGCACAAGTCATCACAAAGTCGTACATGCCCTTGGTCACGTGCAGAAACCGGGCCCGACACCTTAGGCTTTGCCAGTCTTCTTGATCTGGATCATCATCCCGAGGCAAAAGACCACAAACATGGCGGCCAAGTAGCCCCACCACGCCTTCGGCACGTCGTACACATGGTTCCCCATCTCGTCTTCATGGCGGTAGTTCTTAATGGCCGTGAGCTCTGGAAAGTCGCCGATAAAGTAGCCCACGCCATTCACCAGCACGACCGAGCCCACCAGCGCCGTGGCTACAATAATAGCCAGCCGCTCGACCTTGTAGGCAATGAGACCGCAGATGAGCCCCAGCACAATCGCCAGCAGCAGTAGTCCCGTCGACGGATCGCTCGGGTAAATGCGATAGCCAAACGAAGCGTTCAGTAGCGTCGCGAGGAAGACACCGCCGGCCGCGCCAATGAGAAAGACACCGAAGTTGTAGACAAAGACCACGAGCGAGCCAAGCACGAGGCCGCCTATGACAAAGGAGATCCAGAACGCCGTGCGTTCGTACGACTGGCCGTCGACAATGTACATGACAAGGGCCGAGACAATGTAGCCACCGACGAGGAAGCCACAGGCAAACATAGTCGGGCGCAAGAGTTTGTAGCCACACGTGGCCATCAACAACCCACAGACAATAGCAACGGCAGCGGCTATGCTCGGCCCCACTTCAATGCCGTGCGAGATGTCGTCCACGACGCCATTCGCATTAGTATTGGCGGTACTGGTGGTATGCCCCCGTAGCACCATGTGGCCGTTGTCGTGGCTGTCGTTGTCGTCGTCGTCGGACAAGACCATAGAGAGGTAGAGTGGGACTAGGGACAAGTACAGAAGCAGCAGCCCATGAGGCTGCGACGGGAAGCGGAACATTCTCGAGAAATGGAAGCGAAGAACGTGGCGCGCGTGGCGATTTGTGTTGGAGGTGGCAGATTTCGAAGTGGCTGACGACAGAGTGACTGACGGACTGACTGGGCAGTTGGTGAGGTGTGTGTGGCCTGGACTGACTACTTTACTTGGTCCGTAGAGGCTCGGGCAACAAAAGTGTGTGGAGGTACACAGCTTTTGTTGGTCTCTTGGAAACGGATGAGCGCGCACGAAGATTAGGTAGTGCGAAGGGGGAGATAAACGGAGATCGACATTGACGTCTCTCGGTTGTTGATAGAGAGCGCTCCATCGTGTTTACCCCATGTTAACGCTGGTAGAGAAAAGCGTACCTTTTTGTAAAGACACAGTCTTTTCGCTAACAGTCTTATCGGTGTTGACCGATACACGACTGGGGTATCAGCTACGAAACGTTCCCATTTATGCCAATAGGGCTTGTCTCCACTACCTGAACGCTTCCTGCACGCAATGTACGTAGTATTTGCTTGCGTGCAATGGCCATTCTGCTGCTTGCAGAGATGCGGCCTGTTATTGTCTTGCTGCGTGTCGATGCAGTACTGCGTGATTCGAAAGCGTCATACAATCGGGACCACAGTTTTTTATATCGTGTCTAAAGTAGACTTTATAGCGACGTGACTGTCAAGTCCGTGATCGTTGTGTCACACTAATTAAGCGGATTGATCAGATTATGAAGGAGGCAGACAAACCGGTTTGTTTCCGTCTGGCTCTTATTTATCGCAGAGAGACATTTACTTTGCTACAAATGATATTTTGTGTCAGACGGCATTATTGTCGCAGAAAGAATACGATCCATCTATTCTAATATGCGACTCAATCTATAAGTACTCTTTCTATAGGGTATGTGTGCACAAGTCTATAAATGGCTGTTTGGTACATACAATTAGGGAGATACGACTATAAACGTCATGCGTCGATAAACTTTACTCTCGCAACATATGTACGTGGCTACATATGCTGTCTTTGACTTATCAGACACCCTTCCTTGGATTACCAACCAGCGCAAACGATCGGACAACTGACTCTTCGACACACTTGTAACGCTTCAAAACCCCGCCAGCGCAAAATGCTGCGATTATTGTACACTGCAGTAGTTTGTGTTCTGCGGGGTTTCGTTCTGCATCACTTCATCGCACAACGCGCGCTTCAAAGTGACGGCCTCAAGCCTATCTTTTGGCTGGCATGCGTTTCCGGCATCGGTGGGCGACAGCTATCGCTGCAGTCATATGTCTGGAGATACCTTACATTACTTTCTCTCTCACGAGTTAGATGTGCAGTGCCCGTACGAAAACTGTACGGCGACTAATAGACCGTCACCTTTGTTCTATCATTGCCCCTCATCCCAACATTCATCGCCTGTCAGCCGCTACCGGCGTCCCTCCTTTGGCACGCAGGTGACGTCGACGCATATGGTCCAACATTCTGAACAAGATTCTTTGTGAAATCAAAGTTGACGAATGGAAAAAGGACTGACTGCACGTGCTTCGTTCTGATGTTCTTCGACAGCTTTGAGATGAGCAAAGTACCACCATTGGCAAAATTTGTCGCTCTTACTCGCTTACCTTGCATGTGCAGATATCGCTATAGTGCGAGTCCTTGGTCCACATGATACAAGAAACCATTAACAGAGATATCGTGCACTGGACAGCTGACGTTTTGCACCTTAGTAGTTTGCCCCGATTGCAATGTCTTCTTGCCACTCGTGGTGTTACTATTGTGTACTCGTTACTTACTTGATCGATGCTCAACTACAGCGTTGTCGATATTATGTGACGGTTTCATCTGCATGCCTCCACTCTAATGCCCTACATCGGCGTCACGACAGACCATCTACGACCTAGTGCTGCATTCAGTTGAGTATCTTTCGGTCGTGTCAAAAAGATAAACACATATATGGCGATCTGTTGTTGTCAGCACAAGGTCCACATTTGGTCAGCATTGTTGTATTGTGGATCATCGACGTGCGCGACTTGCGACTTGCAAAATCATGTAATTCATATGTATCGCGGTGGCTGGTCGTTCTTCGCTCGCTACTACAACTGCCAATAGCTGTGATTTGTATAGTGATCATCCCATCGTCTTAATGGTGGTGTCAAGAGGCACACAAAAGTAGATACAATAGTCACGATCCACTTCTGCTCGCACACACGTCCGAAGCGGATTAGGAGTAGCTCGCGAATTATGAAATGCGTTTCCAGAGATCGTAATACAACATACGAAAGAGACATATGTTGGCTTTCAAGAAACGCACACGATCACGAAGCACAACCTTTCAAATGAAAAAAGACCTACACCGCTACTGGTATCGCTGCCTCTCCGATATCAGGATACCATAAGACATCGTCGTCAAATTGTTTTTTGACATACACTGAAGAGATCGATCTGTCTGACCAAACAAAAAGCTTCGTTTCACCCATTGCTCACAAAACTTGACCTTAGTGGTCTTGCAATATGTATTTTCGAAACTTTTGAGAGCCGAGAAAGACGCTGGCTGATCCCACTTCGCAAGTGGCGTCGAAATGCAGTATCGTTGGAGGATGCCACAGCTGTAATTGCGTATTACCCCTCTTCGCTGCTACACAGCTTAATCTTTGGCAACGTATGACGTCGAACGAAACTCGGGTTGTTTATAGCGAATCCCCCGAAGAGTGCAAGCCTACAGGACATGACAGTATGGTCGAATCAAGTCAGCCAAAGTCGTCGACACATTAGATGGAACGTTTGTACAGCACCTGCCCAAGTCACCTCAACGTTTCGGATGTTTTACGACTTGGTATCACACGTACCTATAACAGTTTTAATCGTCAATTCAGGTGGCAGCGGTATGTAAAGCTAGCAAATACGATTTTTTGTGTTCACATGAGTCACTCGACTCACTTGCTGCAACCATTCTGACAGCACTATATAATCGAACCACGTATAAGTACGAAGCGACTCGTGCAACAACAACGGGTACGATTCTATCTTGACAGCCGGTCGCTGGATTCGCTGGATTCCACACGACCTCGACTTGTCAGCGTAACACTTCTTGTTGTCGACGATGCAACCCGACGAAAACGGCAACACGTTGATTGCATGTATCCGCGTCAACCGGCGACAACCTCTCATCATGACAGCGTGATGCCGGTTTGGGTTCGCCATGTAGGCGCAAACTAAGCCACTTGAGACTTGTATTGCATTTTTCTCGATTTTGCAGTAATTACATCCATAACAAAAATATCACCCCTCGCAGTCTTATTCAGCGCCTTGCTTTGGCTTGTTGCAAGGTGCGAGGATTGTCTTGCTTTTCTTCAGTGGCAACCCGATGACATAGTTCGACACGCAGTGCATCATCCATGCTTCTTGTGTGAAACGATGCCAAGCGCGCAATGACACAATGGTGGTAGTAGACAGACACTTTGGATACAGGTTTCGTACTCGGTACTCCGTCCTAGCCTTCTTATACGATGTTGCTAGTACAATATAAACTGTTCTTAGACCGAAATGCCTCATTCGTACTACCGACACCGCCGAACGAAGCTGGCTCTCATTCGTCCAGTTAGCACCGCGTCAAGTCTTGCTTTGACGAAACGACTGGGCGCAAGTGAAACAGTCTCCGCTTCTTCGTGGACCCTACCGAGATATGTAGAAAGCATTTCGCAACGGCCTTTAGTTAGACATCTCCGAAAACCGTATCTGTATTGTGGAATCGAAGAGGGTTCTTGACGCTCTTAGTATGGTTTCGTGTGCCCCAGCGGCAGAACAGAGCGACAAAGAAACAAATGTAAAAGTAGCCACCAGTCGGAGGAAGCAAAATGTGGATACGCGTGACAATTGTCGAAATTCATGTTTACGTTGCAATGGTACCGAAACGATACGAAGTAAGAGATACGCAGCTAGGGCATCGATTGCCGTCGTATGTTTGCCTACGGTCGATCATTTGCGCCTTCTCTTTTCTCAAGCTTCGGCCCAGCGGTACTGACGAGGCGACATCTGTAGAGCGTAATTGCAGCACTGACGTGGCGATATCGGTAGAGCGTAATTGCAGCACTGACGTGGCGACATTTGTAGAGCGTAATTGCAAATGACAATCTCTGGCTAACACCAACGCAGCCAGACTGGTACGTGACGCATAATTTGGTCGCTGGCTGCAGAAGAGAACGTGGTGGACCTCTGCTCTCTTTGCGTGCTTCAACCTTCTACCCCATCCGTGTTGATCAATGCTGTATTTACATTCGTACGCAGCTCAAACATCTTTCACCGTAACGCAACATTGTAGACGACAAGTCAGCCGATCTCTACACATAGACTGCTGTTTTCAGCTGCCGCACTATCATCGCTTTACCCACCTGGCGTCTACATGACCGATGTATGTTGAGGTAAGGTAGAATTGCCAAGTCTAACAAGCCAAGACTTGCACAACGTCTTGGCGAGTGGAACGAGAGGGTCCATGCTTACTTGAGATTGATAACGATTGACACGCAAGTGAACAACGTCGACCTGCAACCAGCGTTAACCATTTCAAGCTATACAGAGGATATTCGCGGGGCGGCTAACCACCTAGCTCAAGGCTTGCAACGACCAATTACTCGCAATGTCGAGATGGACTTCATAGCTCTGTAAATGAGATACGGCGATCCAGAGTCCACACTGCCCCCTGCAACTTAGCTTGACGTGGTCTCAAGTGTGCAACAAAGCAGCTGACAGCTGCGATCATAGGTGGCGCTGTCCAAGCGCTCACAGCGATATTGCTGTGTGTCGCCTGACCCCTGTCGCCAAATTTTGCCCATTGTAAACCGCTTCATCGAACATTAACATAAGGCCGAAAGTTACACGGAGGTGGGACACAAACAAGCGTGCGAGAACGTTGAGCCAGCCATAGGCAACATACGACCACGACTGAGTATAATTCGACTGTATACTTCAACGTGAAAAAATCACTTGGGGGCTGTCGACTACAACGGTGACTGCGGCCGAAGAACTTTGCACTTGATTGCACCAAGATCGATCAGATAATCCACTGGAATCAGCAATATCCCGCTTGCTTACGCGTCGACGCTGACGTTCTTTCCGAAGTCGCGTAAATGATTCGCTCACGCGCAACCCCACCCTTCGATCGATGCTTCACCTCAACTTACAGTAACACTGTATAAGTACGCCCTAGAGGGGCAAACAACGTCGGTACCTCGTCACGCGTTGTACATTATTATCTGGGTGCTTCGCTTTCCGTTGCTCGACAGTGCTCGACTGACTGGGTATAGTTAAATCGACAGTGGCTTGGGCATGCGCAGCGGCTTCTGCTCAAAGGCGCTCGGACTTTTCTGCAGATGATTCGCCGGACTCTTCATCAGCTGTTGCAAAGTCTCTGCGTCGTGTGCTGGAGCTAGAGGCGCTAGCGGGCGCGTGGAGGGCAGAGTCGACTTGGCGTTCATTTTCAGTGATGATGTGGTCGAAGAAGGTATTCGGTGTGCGAAAGATTTTCCTGGAAACTTAATGGGATCCACGAAATATAGTGAGCGTGCATAAACGCAGCGAAACCGCCCTGATTGACGACTGTGTAGATACGTTATCAACAGCTTGAGCTTAGGCAAATTCCTTTTGCTAGTACGGCAAGAGCTTTGTTATACGCCCACTGGCGTCAACTGTTCACTCGTAACCGATGATCGTCTCGAGGCGCGTTAGAGTTGACCCGCGAACCAGCGCGAGCTGCAGCAGAGCGCGGCGTCGCTCGGAAGTATGTGGATGCTTGACATACCGTGGAGGCCGGACGCGTGCGAGAGGATTTGCAGTACCTGACGAAGGCCGAAGAAGACGGTCGAAGCACAACGTCCTTCTCTCCTTCATTCTCCTTTTTTCTGCAGCAAACAAGACCTCGACCTCGCACGCACGCACGCACTTCGTTGTACCATATCGCACTCGTTCGCGCGGTGTCTACATACATTTACCGACATACCCACACTACCCGTACACGCTCACATCCACACGTACACACGTACACGCAGGCACGCCACGACGATCACACAAAGCAGTAAAATTTGGCAACGAGCCTTGCTCATGCAAATAGACGTCGACATGGGTTCTCGCGTGGCGGAAACTCCATGGGCACGGCAGTCGACACGCTGCACGTCGTCACGCAAAAGATCTTGGCCAGTGTCGTGCCGTCACTCGTACCAGCTGCATCAGCTGCTGCGCGCATAAACGCGTCGTTTTCAATGTACGCAAACATGCCACAGAGCTGGCCAAACTGGACGACGCTATTGGGCGCCAGGAGCACGCGGCCGAACCGCCCGCCCGCTTTTGTCGCCAAGAACGCCATCATGTCGTCAACGATCGAGTCGGACGTGATGCTGCCCCGAGGCTGCGACAACCAGCTTGGCATGGCCACGCTAAGGTCGACTGCATTTGCTGCATCGACGAAGTGCAACAGTGCGTGCTCGTCCCATTGCAGCGCCAGTCCCGGTTCGTCGTCACTCACGGAAGCAGCAGAGAGGTACTCGTCAGCCTGGAGACCATACAGCAGCACGTGAGATCTCGTTTGTTCCCATCAAGCAACGAGCAAGCAGAGCATTGTCCACGCAAAACGATCATCACCTCAGCAACGCAGTTGTGGTACGACCACGACAAGGACATCGCAGACGATCAAGTTGAAGGGGTACAGACAGTGGATAGTTGATACGCAAGTGAGTGCGACTGGTTGTTGACTGACTTGCCTGACACCGCGGGCACAACGACGTCGGAGTTTCAGCCAATCCGAGACGAGGCGCGACGCACGCGCGGGGAGAAAAGACCCGTCTCGAAGACCACCGACCGGTCTTTGCACGGGACGTAACGCCGCGGGGCCTTTCTGACGACCCCCTACGTCCGACTTTGCAGTTGGGAATCAGGTGAGACACGTTGCTCGAGCCGAACCGTCATATGTTATCATGCGCCGTAACTGCGGGCGCTAACGAGGCAAATAAAGGACTCTATGTGCTCACCCGACTGACGGCGACGTCTCTCAGGCCAAAACGTCTCCTCGCAGGATGGCAACATATCTTTGCTGCATACTTTAGCCAAGTGCTCTTCGCTCGGCATTTCTCACCCTGACAAATGGCTACTACTGTATTAGCTGAAAACTTACTGGGACAGTCTGACAGAGAGGCTGCGTTCGGACGACTGTAACGGTCAAGTCGCGCCACGATAATGAAGTTGTAGGCAGACTGGTGGAGATTCACGGACCTCTTGAGTTGCAGCACATCCCATCGGTCTTGCCGAGAAATTGCCGCAGAGTGGTCTGTGGCTCAACATGTGCGTAGCACGTTCGGTGCGGCATTTCAAGTCATTGGGGCCTTATCTTTGCAAGCCGATCGGAGCCTGATCTTCCCCTGCAAAGAAGTAGAAAGACAGGACCTCTTCTCTGAGCCAACCGAGCCGTGTCCGCGTTTGTGTATCGCAAATTTGGGCATGAAATACACGCCGTCTGCTTCCGTCTTGAGCTCTTCGTGGTACACATTTTGCTTTGCCACATGGCACGAGGCCCCGTTCGTGAGCTCCACTCGTTCTCACGCAGTAGCGTCAGTGCTTTTGCGATTCTTTCGTCTGTCTAGAAGATTCCGGAGCGATTCCTGCGGCTCCGAACAGAGCGCAGCGCTGTAAAATCCGTTGATTTGCGCCTCTTTTCGTGACAAACACCAGACAGAGGCTGCGATTCGGCCAAAGCGGACCACACTTTGGGCGCATCGCAGCTAAGTCTCTCTACGTGCTGGCACAAAAGCCACTTTCGTAGCCGTTTATTCCACCAGCGCTCAGTTCCGTACTCGCCGAAAACTGCGCACATCCCAATGTTCCCATTCGTCGAGAAGGTCGTCGAGATGGAGCGCATGCGCGCGCAGCAGCGCCAACGGTTTCGCTCGCAGCACTACTTCTCACCTGATGGTTTCGAGGCCGAAGGTCTGGTGGACACAGACGATGGACGCAGGCGCAAAACCCCTGCTATGCGGTCCCAGAAGCTTCAGCCTACGCATGCACTCAAGCTCGACGTGGACGACTGCTGGTCTTTGTCGGCTTTGGGTTTGTTCCCCGGGTACAACGCCTTTGACTTTAGATCTTCGCCGGAAGCCTTCGGCGACGACGCGTGCAGTGCAGTGTACAACGACTCGCAGCGCATGACTGACGTGGCTAACCAAGTGGCATCTATGGGATTCCACTGCACCAGTCTGTGGTAGCCGACATACGGAAAATCAGTGGACACGCGACACACGGCAGACGTGCACGCACTATCTTCGCCAGTTGCAGTCGTGAATGCGACGTGAGTGAGCGAGCCCATTGACACTGACTGCAATGACTTTCATCGTGTACATACGTGATTTGAACGGGCGGGCGGGCAGGGGGAGCAATACGCGACGTGTAATTACGACTCGATCCAAGTGCGTGATGCTGAGCCCATACTTGCGTTTTTGTTGAGACCACCGCTTGGGACCTTTAATTTTGTCGTGATGACAAAGCACAGACATCACGTCGTACAATAAAGCCCTTCAAAACTTGTGCACTCTTATTCAGCAACGCTGACTTCCGATCTACTGTTGTGCACTTCAACGCAATCGTGAAAAGAAGCCATTCCAAGTCGGGTATTACGTTGCACAACGTCTTGTTCGTGTTCAAAGCGTCTCCTGCCTGTACTGATGACGGAGGACGCTTTTGCTCAGAAGCACTTTGATCTTCGTCACTTTGGCCGTACGATGGCATCGACATTCGCTGCATCGCCACGAGTCACTCGAACTCGAGTGTACATACCAATATGTTGCAGCTATAGCAGCACTCGGTGGCGCGATGCGTACACTGCACACATATTCAAGGGACAGGTTACAATATGAGGATGCATGAGAAATTGCAACGCGAAAGAGCGTGCACGTGTCTTGGTGTAATCACACTGCATAAGACAACTCGGATAGACCACCAGCTGTCTATCCAATGTTGCAAACTTCCAGCGACGTTCTGTGGTGAAAACGGACAAACACTTACAACTCAATGTCAGTAGCTCACTTCGGCACTTGCTTACCCTTTCGTTGCGAACGTCTTCCATATATATCAACAGCTCAACTTGTCAGTGCCATCGAAAACGGACCAAGCGACGGGTTGTCAGTATTCAGAGGCTTTCACAGCACAGCAAGTGCAAGTTACCACACGTTTTCACTTGTCGATGCGTCGACCATTTCATTATCGACCTAGCAGCAGCAATAGTCGAAACCACCAGTGCATCGCGAACGCGTTTCCAGCATTGACCGTATCCAGTGCACACGTGTCGCAAGCGCGTCCCACGCACTCAGCTTCTTGCGTTGTTCACGGACCCGCCACCTGCTGCCTCGACGCTCCGCTATTGTTGCTATTGCTGTTGCTGTTACCGCCACGGCCGCCGCCATTGCTCCGACTGCCATTCCAACTGCCTCCATTCCGGTATCCCCCACGCCGGCCACGTCCTCGAAAGTTGCGGCGATTGTTCAGTCCCACTGCGCCAAACGTCTCGGTATTCAGCGTCCGCTCTTGCGCGCCCGTCATCCTCGCGCGCTGTCCCTCCAGTCGATCCAATGCATCGCACGAAATCGTGTCAAAAAACGACGATTTCTGATAACTGCCCGTCGTCTCTTTCTTTGCGTCTTCTTCGAGCTTGGAAAACTCCTGCTGCTTGTCAAAGTCGCCCAATTTCGCTGCGAAATTAAACTCGCCCGATGCTGTCTCAGGTCGCGCCCCGGACCCCGCTTCGTCCAGCCCCCCAGGCCCACGCCGCTCTTTGCGGTGCAGCAAATGACCGCCCATGCCCGGGATCGTCCGCGACTTGTTCCTCGCCGGTCGGCGCGGCGCGTCGGCCGGAAGCTCTGCAGTCAATGGTCGACTCCGATCAGAGACCGGCCGCTCAGTCGTCACAACTGCTGGCGGGCTCGGCTCGCGTCCCCGCGTTTCACTGGTCGTTAATCGACCACGACCGGGATCCGTCACTGGCACCGGATTGGCGACTGCTGCGTGGCTCAGATCTGAGCCTCCCAGCGACGGAGTTGGCTGCCTCGAGACCGAGCCGGGCGTCAACAGCGTCGACGACGTGGCCGCTACTGGTGCAGCCACTGGTGGGGCCCTTACGACTGGCTGCGGCAGCGTCTCGGCCGGCGCGGCTTCGCACACGTGCAGGTCCTTGATCTCCGCGGCTTTGAACGTCGCGTACTGCAGCACGTGCGCTGACGGGGGCACGTGCGCAGCGGCCGTGCGACGGCCTTCAGTACCGAACGACCGCACGCGCTGCAACGCGACAGTGCTCTGCCGCGTGTCAATGTTAAAGAGGAACCCCTCGTAGCGAATGTCCGTCTTGGAGATGAGCGAGATGCGCGAGCCGAGGTACGGGATGCCATCGGAAGGGGGCGCGGGGTCGGAGGCACGTGCTGGCGCAGGTGGAGACGACGAGGGGGGCGGCATGTTCACGCGCAGTGGAGCGAGTCAGTCAGTCCGTCCGTCAGTTAGTGAGTTAGGGACTCTGTCGTGTTAGGGAGGAGGTGGGTAGGTCCGTAATGGGCGGACGGTTTTGGGAATATGCTTGTCGAGAGGATTGGTGGGGCGAGGTGTGGACCACGTTCACTTTAGCGGGACCGAGAGGGGGGAATCGGATTGGTGGATATTCGTGCCTCGTTGTGGGGGCGGTTTGGAACGCGAGACGTTTCGTGGTGGTAGCTGGATGATGTGGGAGGGGAAGGAGGGATTGGGATAGTGGGGGGGAGTGGGGGGGGCTCTCTCGGCGTTGGGGAGGAGGGGGGTACGTTTCTATACCCCTTCTTTTTTTCTATGTTGTTGGGAAGTCGATTTGGACTGATTAACAACGAGCAGTGGTTGCGTGGGGGGGGGGGGGTATTGCGCAGGCTGATTGGTTGAGAGGAGGGACAAAGATAGTGGCTGCCGAGGCGACACATGTCTCGTAGGTTAGAAGCCCACGCGCGCAACGGCTCACGTTACTTGGGGGTCCCAAGCTTGGCTTTTGAATTCGAATACAAGGTTGTACCGAGACATATGACTGGTGAGAGGTTTGCCACGGGATGTTCACGAAAACGAAGCGACTGTAATACTCGAAGCATGCGGGCACGTGGTGACAGCGGGGCCCACTCGTCGTATTACAAACAATCGATCACTTTGTTCCCAGAGTGTTGAGCTCGAAACCGAAAGCGTTTGTCTGCAGGTTTATGGCGGGGAGAATGTAGTGCCTCAGCATCGGCGCAGCCTTGCCGCTATTTGGTAGACCAAGTCATTTTGTGTTAGTTCTCATGGAAAGGAAGATATCGGAACCATGTACATCCTCGACGTCACACCTACAGCTTTTGCATCGATCAGTGGCCAACACTGATGGTCGATTGTCCGATGTTCTCCGCTCTATTGAAGCGGACAAACAGATGCCGCGACGCATTGCCCTGCTTGACAACTTTGTTGTGTTTGGATCTCGATAGCGGATCGCACCTTGTCACAGCTTCTTCGTTTGTAGGTAGCAAGACGTAGTCGATTCGAATGTGTTGCCCGGTCTTGTCAATGCGCAAAAACTACGTCCTTGGCACGATACCTTGTAGCTTATCTTCTCTTGCAGTCATTGCCCTACAAAGTGGCAGCTCAGATGTGTTAGTTGTAAGCTAGATTGATGATAAGGCCGCAAGCAGCATATCTTGAACAAACGCGATCCGATACGACAGCCAAGCAAAGAACAAAACGATCCGGCCGTTTGGGCGAGTCCAATAATCCGCCGCTGCCTTCATCGGATTCTGACGTGGAATGCATCAGCGCACGGGATCACCAAGCTACATGTCTCTTGCGGTGTGCTGACATAAGTCCGTTGTGTTTGGCAGTTCTTTCTGCGGTGGTTGTACCGCCTCGGGGCGTGCATGCGGTCTAGTCTCTGATAGTACAAAGCGGCTCGGTAATCGATACTGTGCTCGCTGACCTACGACGTACGTTGAAAGTCAAGCTTTCGTTTTACAGAACGAGACGAGGCGTCGCCGGCACCGCCACGCAATGCTGGCTGTAATACCATCGAAATCGGCGTGCCATTTCGCCTCGAGCTATAAGAAATGGAAACGGGACTGTCTGCGCTGATCACTCGGTGCGCTCGGGCTCAAACGCAATAATCGTCACATGGTAATATGCTCTATAGGCTCTGACACTTGCTTGCAGTGTGCCACACCTTCCATGTCTGCTCTATTGCTTTCTTCATCAATAGCAATGGTATGAAGTAATTTGTGACGCAACTAGTCAACGACTGATAGATAGCAGATGCAGCGCTGTACCCTAAAGTGTCATGACACTGAAAAGTGCGACACTCTAATGAATATAAAACAACAACAACGGGATTTGTTTGACAACATCAACATGGGGGCGAGTACTTCAAGCAGCCATTGTCGACCAGCTTTGGTTTGGATTGCCATACTACGAGCAAGCACGCTACAAAAGCCCATAGCAGAAAAGATACAGTGTTGGCTGCATCGGTGGTGTCGCAACTGCAATCACACCAGTTGCGGGACTAGACCATGGCGTTCTTGTTACTGGGTCACGTCGTGGGATGTTCGTTGACGGAGAGCTACGCGGTAATCCATGTCCCGGAAAGAGATGCCGCGGTCACTAGATCAGCTGCTGGCATGCTTTCTCATCAGGCTGTGTGAGTCGACTTTGCGCCTTACGCGGCGATAGATACAACTTCTTTTCTCGCTGATTGAGGCTTTTGTCTTGGCCCTGGAAGCTTGCGATTTACGGGGATAGTTTGTCAGTCAGTGCATGTGGTGGGGGATAGCGAGATGATCCTTTGCTAGCACCAAATGCGGTATCCACCCGCGCGCATAGTCGACGTCATTTGACTTCATCCCGAACGGGAGCACAACAAACTGGCAGGCTAATTTGCACACACGACTATGGCACTATCCGCGGCATGCGGGTTCGACTGAATAGTATAGACAGGAGATGGGAAAGGTCCTAGAACTTTTCTGTAGCGGTTGCAAACAGCTTAGTGTAAGCACGTGACACAAAATCTACGCGTTGAACAACGATACAGCGCTATGTACTCCGCATAAGCACAGGAGCTTTGCTTTCTTGTTTCAGCCACTCGATGCAGTATACTACTACGTGTACATGAGCTGCGAGTGAGAGATCGTGTAAGAACATCGCGATTCATATGTAGACTGCACACGGCTGTACAAGCAGGTGTGCTGTGTGTGGAGGTTGCTGAATCGGTTTGTTTCGAAGAGGGAGCACGCAATGACTGTTGTTGGTGTACCTCTGCGTTCCAGCTCCAGCTGATAACGACGTGGTCTGCGCGCCAGCGCACTGTCGACAATAACTGTAGTCGATGTTCTGGACGTGTGGTTCAGGGCGCGCATTCTATATCTTGTCCGCCATCTGTCAATGTTCATCCACCTTAACGAACCTTTGCTTATCGGTAGTTTGTACTTGCTGTGGTGGACATGACGAGGAACCACATCGCAACAAGATCGACACGAGTTAGACGCCAGTAGTCGTCTAAACCTACAACTGTCATAGCTTCTAATGAGCACGACTACAATCAAGCTACATACCTTTTTGTTGCATACAGCTCTCCGACACTCTTGCATGGCCAAGTCTGCCACTCTCTCGACTACCATTTTCTCCTGGTCCCACTCAATTTGAAGAGATGGGTATTGGCGCCGCCCCACTCTGAAAGTCGCATTGCCAATCCTTCTTCCGCTCTTCTTACCTTTGGGCCGCCAAGGCGTATGTACGCCTGTAAAAGGTTTATGTTTTTCTTCTCCACACACATGAACGCTCGGAGTAGTGTATTCTCGTCGGCTATATATTTCGCTATATCGTCCTGTTTGACTGTAAGCAAATTCTTCAGTGGCCGAAATCGAGAGAACACCCACCACCCGCGCTCTTCTTGGACAGAAAGGCTCAAAGAATTGTCCGTGGTTGATTTCGCGCTCGTACTTTGTAGAGCGCTCTCAGTGGAGACGTTACCAAGGCCTTTGATGAAGGGCTTACCTACTAAAGTAGAGTCGGGTGGTAGCACCTTCGATAGCTCCAAGTCCGTTGTCGTAGCACCTGCACTCGCAAAGATGGTCGCAATCGTGAAAGCGCGGAGTAGCTGTTGCATTGTAGATACTGTTCGAGCGCAGTTGTTGAGGAGACTGATGATTGGATTCTAAATGTATTGCTATTTGCCGTCCCTACCTGTCTGTCGCGGACATCGGCCTTGCTGGCTACCAATCGTTCGTAACTACTTGAACGCTGTATACTTCTCTCCAACTTCGACACTGCGCAAATCGACACTCTATGCCATCAAAACCATGTGCTAGCCGTGATGACGCCGGCTCTCACTGGCTCTATCATTTCTAACACTCCTCCTCGAGTGCGCCTGTGTCGTCAACGTCTTTTCGTCTACGCCACACCGAGGAGCTTTCTCATCGCTGCGAGCTTTGGTGCGTCGAGTTCTTTCGTCAGTGCGTCGGCTAGCTGTTCGTCAGTGTGGACGTATTGAGCCTTGATCACGCCACGACGCACAAAATCGCACACAAACTTGACCCGCACGTCTATGTGCTTTGCCTTCATCGATGTCGCTTCACCGTCGAGCTGTCGTATCGCTGCTTATTTATCAACATGAAGCGTCAAGGGCAGCTCAGGTTCCATGGCCACCTCACCGAGCATTTCTCGAATGCCGAGAAGTTCACGTGCAGTCTCCAATGCGGCCACAAACTCGGCATCCATGGTCGAGAGTGTCACACCGCCTTGCTTGCAGGACGCCCAGCTGATAGCCATGCCGTTCACGAGCACGACACTTCCAGTTAGGGACTTGCGGTCGTTCTTGTCCGCGGCATAATCAGCGTCGCTATACGCCTCGAGCGTAATTGGAGAACTCGCGTCATGCACTGGAGTCATGTTCATCTTCAACGTAGTTGTCCCTTTGAGATAGCGAGCAATACGCTTCGCCAACATCCAGTCCTTGATCCAAGGTGCGTGTGTCTGTCGAGTTGCTTTATGCACCGCGAACACGACATCTGGACGGTGCAACGTGTTATCCAAAGCAAACTGCCGACGAGCGACTGGAACGACTTCACTGTTGGCTTGCCAGACGAAGACAAGGCCTTGAGCATCTTCATGTCGTCTTCGTCGGCATCATAGCAGTCGGCGCTAATTGGTGCGCGCGTCGGGTTCGCCGCCTCGAGGCCGTGCTCGCGCAGCAGGCCTTTGATAGATTCCTCTTGATCTATCGCGTATCTTGAGCCGTCACACGGGATCCGCATTCCCAAAAACTTGCTTACTTCGCCGAGATCTTAAATCGCAAGTATCGACAAGCTCACAAAGACATGATCGACAACGGCACTGATGGTCCCGGTCACGAGGAGATCGTCGACGTACGCTCCTACAACGACGAGCTCGGCACCTTCATTCTTCCAGTACAAACACATGTCCGAGCAACAACGTAGGAAGCCGGCATCGTTGAGGCTTGAGTGGAGAAACTGGCTCCACAGGCGTCCCGCCTGCTTCAACCCATACAAACTCTTCTTGAGCTGCAATACGACACCGTTCTTGTTCTTCGCTCCGAGTTGCTGCAACGTAGTGTCGGTCACCTCCATGCCGCGTGGTACTTGAAGCAGGAACTCGAGGTTCGCTTCCTTCTTAGCGCGAACGTAGGCATTTGGAATGTCCCCGTGTTTGGCTGGCACGTTCCATGTTGCTGCAAGCGCTATAATCACCTTCACGGTCGACATATCCATGACGGCCGCGAAGGTGAGCTGATAGTCAATGCCGAACGCCTGTTCATTGCCACACGCGACCAGCCTAGACTTGTAGCGCTCCAGGTCGCCATGTGCGTCGGTTTTTGTTTTGTAAACCCACTTGCTATGCAGCGCGTTGCTACCGGCAGGGCGCTTGATCACACGCCACACATCATTGGCTCCGAGCGCTGCGATTTCTTCACGCATCGCTTTTTCCCAGTCGGGACGCTTCGTGCTCCGCATTGCCTCGCTGTAGTTGGTCGGATCACGTTCATACACGTGAGTGGCGATGTCGATCACGCTTGCAGGCTCCTCCTGAGCTTCAGACACTTGAGCACGCTTTGATGCGCTTCGTGTACCGTGTGCTATGCGCGTCCGCTGCTTCTTCTTCTTCGTGGCAGCCTTCGGTACTTGCGCAATCGCACGCTCGTCCTTTTCTGCGTCATCGAGTACGCGCTGCAACCGGTCGTTCTTCTCGTCACTGAGCGTTTAAATGTTTTTTACATGTTGTGTGACGACGACGACGTTGTCTTTCTTTAAAAACACGCGGTACCCTTTAGTTTCGTCGCTGCGACCGACGATCGCTCCCACTTGCGCTCGTTGTTTGAGCGAGTTCTTGCGTGGATCCCGATAAACCGTGCAGACCGACCCGAACGCGACGATCTCGCGCAGGTCTGGTGTCTGCTTCGTCAGCATCTGTAGTGGCGACGCGCGGCGTGCATTCGCACCGGTTGGACTTCTATTGAGAACGAATGCAGCGTATTCGACGGCGTCTTCCCAGAACGACAGCGGCAAGCGGCTCGCAAAAATCATCGACCGCGCCATGTTGAGCACCGTACGATGCATTCGCTCTGCCTTTCCGTTTGACACCTGGTTGCGAGCTTCACTCTTCTGTCGCTCGACGCCTGCTGTCTTGCAGAACAGATCAACGTTCATGTAATTGCCGCCTCCATCTGTGCGAAGCACATGGATGCGGCAGTCGAAACGCTTTTTGAACCACGCCAGAAAGTGTTCAAACTTCTTGGCGGCCTTGTCCTTGGTCGACGCGAGGAACACGCGGCAGTAGTTGCTGTAATGATCAATGAAGTTGACCATACAACGGTTCTTCAGACGGTCGGCGGGGTCATCGGTCCTTTACGATCCGAACAGATGACACCGCCGATGCGATCTATCGGGCTGTGCCTGCCGCTGTCTTTCTGCGATTTTCCGTTGCGTGTTTGCTTCGCCTTAAGCACATGTGATACACGTGAGCCTTTTTCGGTTGGTGAGCCCATTCTTGCTTGCTGGATCCCACGCCATTCGCTCGATGGTGTCTAGAGCAATATGACCGAGCCGTTTGTGAAAGTGCATTAGTGTCCCAATCTGCACATCCTGTCGCATGGGCAACGTCGCTTCGTCGGTGATCACCGCCAGTAGCACATCCGTAGGCGATTGCTTGCGTCCCATTTCTGGCGACGTTGCCGCATCGAATACGCTGTTGAGCATCTGCACGTCGAACGCTACGTCGCCTGTGGCTCGATTGGCGGGTGACAGCTGCTGGTCGTCGTGCACGAGACTGTGTCCTTTCTTCACAAGCTTCCCGTATGACAGTATGTTGCGAGCGAGCAGCGGCGTGAAGTGCACGTCTGTTACGCGAATCATACGAGGCTGCTGGTCGACAAACACGCGAATTTCCATACTACCGGCAAGCGATAGGCGCAACGGCTCACCATCTGCGACAATGCACTCTTGGTCACATCGCTTTGCGTTAATCAGCAGTCGCTCGTCATTGACAATGTGTCGGCTGGATCCGCTATCCAGGATCTACACGCTGCTGTCACTGCTCGGGTCTTCGTCGATCGAGAGAATGAGGTTCGCACCGTCGGTGCGACTGCCAATGGGTCTTCCAGTCGGCTTCTTCTCTTTCTTTTGGCAGTCGCGCTTTAGATGACCGACTTTGCCACATCCGTGGCAAATGCACGTCTCCTTTCGTGGCTCGTCATTGACCACGTGCGACACGACGTCACGACCAAATGAGCGACTCGAGCAAGCATCGAGCTCGATTGATTGCGCAAAGTGAGCGAGTGCTTCTGCATGCTCCAGGTGGTCGGTGCGCGAGGTGTCGTACTTCGCCATGAGGACGGTGGACAGCTCGGCCGATGCATACCGCACGATGTTGTCCATCACGTTTGAACCGGCACCTCCGCAAGCGTCGCTCACCGCCACGAGATAAAGGCCACGTGCGCTTCGAGTCCTTCTTCGCTGTAAACAGCTTCATGGCCTGCGACGCTGTGATCGTTGTACAGGATGTCTGGAGCATATTTTCCATGACGAACTGCAGTGTTGGCAGCACCGACCACCAAGCGTCAATCTGCTTGCTAAAGTAGCGTTCTGCAGTGCCCGAGAGATACTGCCCGAGGACGTCAGTCTTGGTGTCTTCAGTCCATAGGAAGCCGCACGCCGATTAAGCCATGTCGACTTGCAGCCAAAACGACTTACCCCAATCAAAGAAGTTTGAGCCTAGACATTGGTAGAGCTGAATGCCATCAAACTTCCGGATGGCGAGCTTGCGCTATCGAGCATCGGGCACACGGTACTTCCCCACAGGCACACAAGCAGCAGCAGGGGTCGGTGCTGCTGCTTGTCCAACTTGAGGAGCTTGTGGCTGCCCGAGAGGAGGCGCGTACTGCCGCAACAGCGGCGCATCGCGCGAACCTTGGAACGGGCCGTGTGGCAACGGGGTGTTGCGCACTGCCGGGGCAAATCCGAGAGCGTCTCGCGTCATCGTATCTCTCCCAAACTCACGCCCGAGCGCGGAGCTGAACCTTCCACTCTCAATTGCGCCGCGCATGCGCTCGTCTTCTTCAGCCTTGATCTGCGAAGCCTCCATGCGCATCACACGCTCTTCTAGACCGAGAAGCGCGTTGAGAATCCGTTTGTTGACATCTTCGCTGCCCCTTTCGCGAGCAGCTGTTGCGACTTCTTCAGTAGGTGCAGGAGAGGCTCTTTCGCGGTCGTCGTGCTCCTTAGCCATGGTGTAGGTGTCGTTAATGTTTTCAGTGTTCATCGTGTTGGAACTTGCGCTCATAACCTGTTCGAGCACAGTTGTTGAGGAGACTGATGATTGGATTCTGAATGTATTGCTATTTGCCGTTCCTACCTGTCTGTCGCGGACATCGGCCTTGCTGGCTACCAATCGTTCGTAACTACTTGAAAGCTGTATACTTGTCTCCAACTTCGACACTGCGCAAATCGACACTCTATGCCACCAAACCGTGTGCTAGCCGTGATGACGCCTGCTCTCACTGGCTCTATCATTTCTAACAGATACTGCCTGAGCAGACAACTTTGAACTGGCTTTAGCATTATCGGACACTAAGAGCGTTTCCTTCGTGTTAACGGATGGAAGGCCGGAACAGCGGGCGCTGGAAAGGCGGAATGAGTCGGCTTTCCACCGCATACTATTCCGACCCTCAAATGAATAGCTGGCGGTTGTCGAATTGTTGCGAACGTACAACAATCATTTCCGGAATCTCCTGACTATAAAGACGATTAAATCGGCTCAGACCTTGGGGGGTCTTCAGCTTTGTATGACACTAAATGAAAGAAATGATCTGCGGCGCAGCTGGATGGGCGTGTGATAGCGTGTATGCTTATCAGCTGTCACATGATAAAGGGGGCACTCAACGTAGGTATTGTAACGGGGCAGCCCGTTACATGGAATTGTCACTATAAAGAAACTATGACAATAAAGAATAGTAGGTTGAATATTCTTTGAACAATATCACCGATAGTGGTAGTATTGGTCAAGCGACCAAAGGGTCTGCTCATTGGTTGATATCTTGACGATATCAACCCACCAATCGCCGCAGGGCGCGCGCAATGAGTGGTGAGTAGACGTCGTCATACATTCAGTTAGATTAACATAATTAAGTTAAGTCAAACAGAGAGACAGTGGTTAAAAGACTTAATTATATTAATACAACGGTTTTACTTTTTCCTTATCTACGCTTCCTCGTTTGCCTCGTGTACGTCTGTCGGGCGCACCTAAACCCTTGCGTTAAGTTCACGCAAGGGTGTGCCCCGTTACACCTGGTAGCACTTTGTAGTCCTTCCAAGGACCACAGCATTCAACATGTTCACGTTGGATGATGAAGAGGCCTTTCACGCCACGCGTGAAGGGTTTAACCATTTGACTGACATCGAATGGGGTGAGGTAGAACGAATGAGTTCTACCGTAGGCGAAGTTCGTCATCAGCGCCATGTTGGAGTCTCTAGACAGAGACCAACAACATGCCGCTATCGCCAAGTTCATTCAGAATGAACTTG